TCCATCAGAACCTCCACCAGAACCTCCAGCAGAACCTCCACCAGAACCTCCACCAGAACCTCCACCAGAACCTCCATCAGAACCTCCACCAGAACCTCCAGCAGAACCTCCACCAGAACCTCCACCAGAACCTCCATCAGAACCTCCATCAGAACCTCCACCAGAACCTCCATCAGAACCTCCAGCAGAACCTCCACCAGAACCTCCACCAGAACCTCCATCAGAACCTCCACCAGAACCTCCAGCAGAACCTCCAGCAGAACCTCCAGCAGAACCTCCACCAGAACCTCCATCAGAACCTCCACCAGAACCTCCAGCAGAACCTCCAGCAGAACCTCCACCAGTTATAAACCACCAGGCAACATTTGCTGAATTTACGTCACCAAACAGAAAATCTCAACTTTCAACATCAGAGTCTGATGAAAAGTTTCTTGATGGTTTTTCATGTCAAACTCTCCAGTTTCTCCAAAATATGATTTATAATTTTCTGTTGATTTCAAATAGTTTTTAACGTCCAAGTAGAAAAAAATGATCAATAGTTTATGGCAACAATTTCTACAATTATTGGATTTAAAATATGTGGAAAGAACAGAGAGACTGATGGACGGATGTGTTGGATGCCTGGTTGGATGCCTGGTTGGATGCTGGCTGACCTTCGTAGCAGTCCCTGACGCTGTCACAGTAAACGTAGAACTGGTCGTTGGTGAGGAAGAGGAGGCTGAGCCAGGAGTCCAGGGCGTAGATGGGAACGATGAAGAGGATCCTGACGATGTGGCGCTGCTCCTGCGGCGCGCTGTAGAACCGCAGGTGCATGTAGATCTGGACACAGAACCAGAACCAGAGTCAGAACCAGAACTAACTGCGGCTAACTGTCCTGCTGGTCTGGTCGTTACCTGGTGACAGGTGAGGATGAGCGCGGTCCAGACGAAGAAGCCGGACACCGCCTGCGCCGCCGGCGACATCAGGAAGGTGGGCCGGTCCGATCCCAGCAGCGGCGCGTCGGGGAGCCATGAGATGTTGGGCCCCATGGGGGCTGCGGTGAGCGGGTCCGGGTCCAGGCCCGGCGGGTCCGGCTGCGGGACGTCCCGGCGCCCCAGCCTGAACATCTGGACAGGAAGCAGTTCACCAGCTGGAGGAAGACGTGACGAAGAGCCGGTCGATCATCATCAATTATCAACCTGCAGCTCAGACCTGACGGCCTGCCGTCGGGTCAGAACCGGACCGGTCCGGTTTCACTGAACAATGAGTCAGTGTGTGCTCTGGTTGCTCTCTGGTTTCACATATTGATTCTGTTGGTTTCAACCCAGCAGCCATTAGATCAGTCTGAACCGGGCCGGGACTTTCATTAAACTGGTTCTGACACGTTTAAAACTTGAACGGCTTCCTTTAATACCAACACTGTGTTTCTGCTGCGGTTCTGTCGGTAAACCTCCGTTAACCTCAGCCAGAAAAACACAGATTGAAACGGAGCAGAAAATGAAACGTTCAACTCCAACAGCTGAACTTTTCTTTCATTACGGCTAAAATCTGAACCTGCAGTCATTTAATTGTTCCATTAATATCAGGTTTAGTTTATTGCTAAGAGCTAACTCTCTAAAACAGACTGGACCTTTAGGTTTATTCGTCCATCTGAAGGAAAGTTGTTGGAAATCATCAAAAGGTTCCTACAAAATCAAAATACCTTTTCCAGACTTAAAGTCAGAGATTTTTCAGTAACTTTTAAATAAAATGTTGAAATTTCAGTAAATAAATGATCACTGCAGATTGTTTAAAGCACATTTTCTTATCAGTTTTAAAGCAAACGTCTCCATTCTTATCTGATTTTTATTAAGTTAAACACAAATGTTTGTTAAAGGATTCATGTACAGAAAACGATTGAAACTGTTATTTCTGATGCATTTAATCAAGTCACTATTTGACCTGTTGAGAAAAATCGTCCGGTTCTGACGTCTGGCTGGTAAATCGGTGCGTCTTGAGTAGGAACCATTTTATTTCATTAAACCGATGGACCAACCAGCAGCAGCAGGGAACACAATGGGATGCAAACGATGCTGCATGGAGAGACAGCTGGCTGGTTCATTAGGAAGGTGACAAAGGTCAGCTAGAGTCTCACACACACACACACACACACACACACACACACAGAGGAATAATAAGTGAGGAATAGAGCAACAGATGGAAAGGAGTCAGGATGTGATTCACATCATTAGTGACAGCCAGACTGGATTATCTTAATGGCAATAACAATAAAATTATGTTTCTGCTTTATTTTTTAAATTATGCCAATAAATTGATAATGTGGTTAAATATCTTTAATTGTATTTCAAAAATATTGAAACGAATAATTTAATCGTATTATAAAATTGAATTATTTTCATGATTAGCATTAAATGAAAAATAATGTGATTAAATTACATAAGTGTGACAAAAAATAACTAATTAAATAACAAAGACAGAGCATACTTCTGTTACAGTATGAGAAGAGATGATGGTTTTATCCGGTCCGGACTCACCTGGTGAACTGAGCCCTGCTTCAGAACCTCTCCGCGCTGCTCCAGAAGAACTGTTCGGGTCCAGTAACCCAGAAATGGCCGGAAGTGTTCCTCAGAGGCGCCCCGGTTCTCCCAGGACATCCATGTTGGCTCCCCGGAGGACCGACCGACCGCCCGGCCGTCAACTCTCACCGTCTCCCACCTAAACAACTAAACTCCCCGCTAAAAGTTCAGCTCGCACGCTGCGCAGCTCCGGTTCTCTTCTTTAACTGGTTCCGTTGGTCCATTTCTGACGTTTCGGTAGGTGTTTGAGTTTATAAGCAGTCAGTTCGGTTCGGGTCGTCCTCCCCTCTCTTGGTAACGGTTCCGTTGTAGAATCTCAGTCGGATTAATAACGCCACATCACAGTAGCTCCGCCCATTACACCAGGGCGAACTGTCTTAACCAATCAGATCACAAGCACCCCAGTTTAGGGCGGGGCTTATGTTCTGAGCGCAGTGAGTTTGCGCAGTTTTATTCTGGGACTCGCAGATGATGACAGTGACGTAAAACTGCTCCCACTCGCCAGTATCCCCCGGTTTCCTGTCCAAAGTGGGCCTGGCGTGGGAAATGACGCTCCTCATCCACTTTCTAATGACTTATATTTACTCATTAGCTACTTGAGTAACTTTGGGTTAAAACAGTGCTTTTTTTACTTCTATCTGAGTACTATTACGAAGGTCTCTTAGGATTAGTTTTACTTCACCATGCTTTTGACTTTTAAATATGTTGAAGAAAGAGTGCATGGGTAGTTTCTGTTCTGTTCATTTGACATCTGAATGGCCTGACAGATCAGCAAATAGACAATAATAGAACAATGAAGCTTGTTTATAAATATAAAACTAAGTCTCTTACTTGTTTTAGTCAAGTAAAAGTACCTTTTAGTACTGCAGATACTACTAAAAATAAAATATATGTACTACTACTACTAGTTATATCTTGTTACTTAAAATTTGTCATCAGCTGGTGGGAACTAAATTTGTTATTGCAATATTTTGTAAAATATAAATCTGAAACCAGATATCTACGTACACATCGCAGTCTGAAATCAAAANAAACATTTTCATTTAGATCAGTCAGAAAAAATCTAATAAAATTCTGAATGATAAAGGAGATTTTTTTTTTACCTTCCTTGAAATCAAACTTTACAAAAATGAAGATGAGGAAGTCATGAAACCACCATTTAACCAGGAATAAGGAAGACTGATTTATAAGTGCATAGCAGCAAAATAAGATAAAAACAAAACAAATTCAACTTTTAAAACATTTTAAAAATGAGCTTTAAATGTCAAGTAGAAAAACCAGTGTGGATGTATTTTTAGGAATCATTTTGTTGAAGGGCTCACCTCCATCCACTGTAGTTGTTGCTACAACTTATTTACATCTCTAACCGCTTGAGCTCAGTCAGACTGGATGGAGGATTTAGGTCTGGACTTTTACTAGGCCATTCCTACCCATGAAACAAGACCAGGAGTCTGGGTAAGCTGCGTATACTTTTATTGAATCTGAAAATAAACACCAATATAGTCATAAAACCGAAGCAGGAAACAGGAAAACAGTCGCCAGTTGTTCCTTTCTGTCTCAGACTCTAAAGGTTGATCAAAGAAAAATAAGCTTTCTGTCACATTCTGCCGAGTCGTATCTACACTCCCACTGCTGTACACGTCCACTTGCTCACATTCGATTAACTTCATACGATAATCCTCTTCCTGATCCGGACATTTCCTCTGAGTCCTTAAAGCAAAGCTGAAGGCGAAACAGAAGCATGACACAAGAACACGAACATAGATGGAGACTTTCCAAAAGCAGAAACTTTTTCACTGCAGATTTTCTCATATTCACTCTTTTCCTCTGATCCTACTGAGACCAAAACTTTTGATTTAGCTTCCAAGGCTGCAGGTTGAAACCAGATATTAATCCTCTGTGTAAAAAGGTTCTGACTTTTCCTGTTTTAGGTCAGTAAGGATTACATCAATCATTCCGGTTTGATAGATATCAGCATTTTAAACAACTTATAAAGAATTTCTTTGAATTTAAACATTCATAAACCAAGTTTATGAGGTTTGACCAGTGAAACTGAAGCTTTTTCATTAGTATAAAGGAATTATTTGCTATGTTGCAAGTTAGTTTTGTCTTGTTTCAGGTGTAATAAGATGTTTGCAGTAAAAACTAGAAAAAAATACTTGGTAGATTTTGTGTTTTTGCAGTGTGGCGTAAAACAGCACCAAAAACTAAACCTGTTGTTTGAAAATATCTCAGTTTCCTGATGAAGGCCGCTCAGTTCATTTCAATCAATCGCAGTAAAAATTTTAATGAATCTTTTTTTTTAGGAACCTTTGTTTTCATGCGTTTCTGGTACGCCCGTAAATGTGACGCACAGAAAAGAGTGAAGGAGGATGAAGCTTCTTCTCTGGCTAATTTCTGCTTTAATCTGATTAGACGCTGGAAAAGACTACTGTTGTTGAAAGGAGGCGGCCTAACAGCAAAGCTATGCTAGCCTGAGATAGCACCTTAATGCTAAACAGGTTAGCATTAGCTAGTGCTAATGTTAGCATCCACAATCCATATTTCTAAAGAAGCTCCATGAATGATCGGGGTTTTGAATTGAGATTTTGTTGTTAGTTTTTGATTAAATTGACTAATTAATTAAAGACCCTGAAATTAACTGGATTAAACGTTTTGATGGAGGCCAGTCAGAGTCGAGTCTGATGGAGGAAAAACTGAAAGGTTTGGATTGACTCCAGCAAACCATCCTGAGAAGTTCTGATCCGAGTTAAGAGGAAATAAAGAAATATTGTCTTCCTGATAAATCTGACATTTAACTAATGGAAATATGGTTAGCCCCAAGTGGGGTAAAACAGGAAAATGACCCTCAGAGTGTGAGAGTAAAGGTTGTGTCGTTCTATACAGAGTATGTAAATATCTGGCTTCAACTTCAGATCAGAATAAATAACAGAAGCTGCAGATTTAGCTCTCAAACAAAAGCAAATTGATCTTTTTTGATCGACTACACGTATAAATCACAGTTGTGTAATTTAAGTCCTTTTTGTGCACTGTTTTCATTCTGTTTTTTTGTGCAAATTGAGCCTCAGTGTTGATGTGAAGGTGAAAAGGAGCAAAGTTTAGCGCCTAGCTCCCGATACCAGCGCTGAAACGAAGCCCAAACTGGTTCAGCTGGAGGTTCTCCTCCTTCCACTGGTTTCCCATCAGGCTTTGGCTCACGCTCCCACCGGCAGACACACGGACAGACGCTCTGGGTCCTCGCTCGCCCGCCGCCTCCCTCACCATTCATGCCTTCATTCGTTCGATTTGGATTTGAAAGTCAGGGGGTTCGATGCCCTTCGGTTGCTACATGATGGGAGACAAAACAAAGAAACATCACAAAACGTTCTCAGTGGCAGCTGAGAGAACTCAGCGGCCAAAAGGCATTTATTTATCCTTCAGTTAAAAATGCTAAATAGTTGTTGTTGTTTGTTTTTTACATTATTTTCTTTACATGCTCAGCAGAAAATTTACAAGCAATGTTTTAATTAAAAACTAAAAGTTGTACAGTCTAATAACTTGGTCAAAAACTGCAAAAACAAAAATCTTATTTTTGTTTAGTTTCTAATACAAATATTTTAGTTCAGTTGAAATAAAACAATACAAATAACTTTTCATCAAGATATACCGTGTTTCCCCGAAAGTAAGACAGTGTCTTACTTTCTTTTTATCCCCAAAAGCCCCACTATGTCTTACTTTTGGGGTATGTCTTATATTGGAAAAATATCGTCGAATTTTTTGTTTTAACCATAAAATTAACATTTATTAACAACCTGAACAATATTGTATTCACCACAAAACAGTTTTATAAAAGGAAGTGCCAAGAATGCTCATTTGGATCAGAGGGAGGTGGCAGACGCGGCGACGTATGGAGGGGGGGACGGCGCGGACGTGGGCAGGAGGCGGCGCGCAGCTAGATGAGAGGTGTTTCCCCGAAAAGTAAGACATATGTCTTACTTTCGGGGTACGGCTTATATTAGCCGACCCCCCTGAAACCTCCGATACGTCTTACTATCGGGGAAACACGGTAGGAACTTGTTTTAAGTCAGTAATTCTTTACCATTGATGAAGTAGCTCTAGCTTTATTGGCAGATTATTTCACTCATAATATGGGAAATATGTTTTGTTCTAAGTGAAATAATCTGCCAGTGGAACTAGAACCGGGTTGCTAGGTAACGGGCTGGGCTTGGCATGGGTTGCTAGGTAACAGCAACTAGAACTTTTTCATCAATATTAAGGATAATTTTTATTTCCAGTCTTTTGCATTAAACCAAACTTACTTGATAGATTTTGTGTTTTTGCAGTGCAGATATATTTTTAAATTAATTCCCGGCTAGACTTGTCACAATTAGCAATAAATCAATTAATCACACAATGAGTTAAAACAAAATCAATAATTTCCATTTGTGTTATTGTTTTTCTCATAAAGCCTGGGTGATAAAGTCTTCAGGTTGCTGATTTGGTCTCAACTAAACCTTTTTTTGAAGGATGAATTTGTTTCAGAGACTTTATCATTTTTAAATGTGTTCAGCAGTTTAATTTTAGTTTCAACAATTTTTATGTGCTTAGTAATTCAGAGTTAGCGTCTGCTAATTTTTAGGAGTTTACAATTAGCTTCCATCATTTCTCTGTGTTTAACGGATTAGCGTTAGCTTCAGCTAATTTTGTTTTGCATCTGTTTTCTTCATTATACTTCTATTTTCTGCGCTTGCAGCATTTTTTTATCTGCAGTATTTTTCTTTTTTCATTCATGTTTTGAAGTTTACATCATTCGTGTGTTTGCGGCGCGTTTCGCTGTCTGTGCCTGTCGGCTGCCTTAAAAGTCCCAATAAAAACCACTAAAGTTTGAGTTTTAACACGTCAGGAAGTGAAAGAGTTAAAGGGTGTGAATACTTCTGCAGGACGCTGTGAGCAGAACGGCTAAAGCTGCATCCTGTCAATCAGTGAAAGGAAAGCTGAGTCTGACTGAAGGCTAACCTACAAGCAGCTGCTGCCATGTTTCCACCATGAACAGATGATCGATGCTGTGAAGGTGTTTCTGTGTTTCTGACCTGCAGCCGCCAGCAGAAAGTCACTTTGCCAGATGTTCAAACGGCACACTGACCTACATGGAGGAGAAGAGAGGAGCTTAAAGCAGCTCAGATGCTAAAAACCTGCAGGCCCTCAGATCATCTGAGAACACGAACATAAAGGTTCTTCATCCATACTCTGGTCAAACAAGAAATAAATATTATTTTTTCATAAAATGCTGTTCAAAGACGACCCAACATCTGTAGATATACAGGGAACAGATTCTTGGTGATAAAAGTTCCTGATTAAATTTTCTCTCTTGTTGAATATTTTCTTCACTCGTTCTTTTCTTCATCTGCTTCTTTCCTCTTATCATCAGTTAATATTCAACCCTTTTCTGAATTAGAGGAAAACAGAGTCAATATAAATGGTCAAATAATTTTTCAGGCTGCATTCAGCCTTCAGCTCTGCCTGGTCCACTTTAATCCAACTTCAGTCCATCTGCCTAGTCAAAGTCCGGTCCGGTTGGTGAGGTGTGAACTCTAACTGACCTATGACCTCTGACCTTTGGTCCTCCAAACCTCGGTCTGGGTTCAGTTGAACTGAACTCAGGTTCGGTTTGAGTGTGAACGCCAAACGGACCAGAGACCGCTCCAGAAGCAGGAAGTGGACTACAGAGCAGGGCATTCTGGGTAAATACAACCAAAGCTAACGTGCTAGCCTAGCGCTAGCAGCAGAAATGGCTGGTTCTTCAGTGGTTCTTGGTGCAGCGCCCCCACAGGCCAGGAGGGGAACAGGTTGGTTTGACTCAGAACCACAGCAGCTGGAGGTGGAGCAGATGTTCTGGTTCCAGAACCGAGTCTACCACACCATCACCCTAACAGTCCAAACACCAATGGACCCAACAGACTAGCAGAGGCCGGTCCTTGGCTAAAGGTGGGGTCTCCATCCCAGACGTCCTACCTGTGAGGCAGTGATGCGTGACTGGTCGAGGCGTGCAGTGAGGTCAGAGGACGAGACGTTGGCGGGGGCGCCGCGATGGAGCCTCATGGCCACCTTCCTTTCTCTCTCGGCTCTCTCGGCCCGGCCCGCCTGAGGCGATCGGTTGCCTGCGTCAGACAGCGGTCAGAAACTGAACCTCGTCTGACGGTGTTCTTCCCAAAACGCCTCCTGACCTGACGGCTGGGCTCCACGCGACGCCTGGTTGGAAGGAGCTGTCTCTGGCTCGTTCCGGACTCGGTTGGCGGCACAAGGGTTCGGGCCTGGAGGCAGGGCTCGGCCTCCGGCTCCTCTCTGACCCGCGCCGGCTCGGTCCTCCCCTTCCTTCCCTTCTCTCCTCTCTCGCTCCCCGTCCTCTGCTGTCCTGCTGGAACCCTGACACGGACGAAGAAGAGGATTCAACACGGCACACAGTATCACCGCAAATACCTCATAACCCCAGTCAAACATGGTGGACAGCACCCAGAGGGAAAGGTTCAGTTTGGATGTAACTTTGTGGACCTGATGATCAGAGATGCATCTCTGGATGATGCATTTTGGAAAGAGTTGGAACATGTAGAGTTGTCACCGAAGGCTGAAAACGGTGGCATAACATACAAAGAAAGGTGTCCAATCTGGAGAAAACGGATCCATTTGAACGAGCCAAAGTTCTCTGGAAGATGTTTCCTTAACATATAGAGAGAAAAACAAGAAACTCACAAACTTCAGCATGTTCCAGTCGAAGACGTAGTCGTAGGAGAAGCCCTGCCTGTGGAAAAGGTTCCTGAAGAGCTGCCTCAGGTACGAGTAGTCGGGCTTGTCGTCGAACCGCAGAGAGCGACAAAGGTTCAGGTAGGTAGAGAACTCGGCTGGCGGAGACAGGAAGGAATGATGAGGATCTCAAGGACAAACCGTTTCAAAATGACGCATTTCTCCTCTGACGTCCCACTCACAGGGGTATCCTTTGCAGAGCACCTCAATAGGGGTGGACATTTTCTTTTCACTGATGCGTTCGTACTTCTGCCTCTTGGTGGCAGCCTTGAGTCCTTGCCAGGGCAGCGAACCCAGGTTGAAGTACATGAGGACGTAACCCAGAGACTCCAGGTCGTCTCGTCTCGACTGCTCTGTGGAGGAAAGCTCACTGGCGTGAAGCGGCGGCGCGGTGAGACCGGAGAGCTGCGGGGAAACTTACCGATGCCCAGGTGGGTGTTGATGGAGGCGTATCGCGCCGTCCCGGTCAGGTTCTTGTTCTCGCGGTAGGGGATGTGCTGGTGCGTTCGAGCGTCTCGGTACTTCTTGGCCAGGCCGAAGTCGATGATGTAGACCAGGTTGCCCTTCTTCCCGAGGCCCATCAGGAAGTTGTCAGGTTTCACGTCTCGGTGGATGAAGTTCTTGGAGTGGATGTATTCGATCCGGCTGATCTGGGAGGAAAGGTCGACCCGGCGATGGAACGAGTCAGAACCCAAACGTTTCCGTCTCTGTTGTGCTCAGCCTGAGTGTGAGTCTTAGTGCCAAACTTCAGACCGTTGTGCCACTTCGATTCAGCAAACAGAAAAATGGCGATTCCACCGAATGTTTCACTAAACTGAGTCATTTTAATTTGGTAAAATGTAAAACCTTCAAGACTCTTCAAACATGGACTACACTATTCTACATTAAAACCAGAATATTTAAAACCTAGTTTGTGATTTGTTAAACCTTTATTTGATTTGTCAAAATTAGTGTATTCAACCTGAAGCCAACCTCAGCTTCTGTATTATACAGTTTATATTTTATGTCACGTCACATTTCAGTAAAGTGTTTAAAAACATTTCAATGTTTGTCACTTACAGGCATCCAGGCCAACCATTTTCTGTTTTAAAAAAAGTAAGAGTTGTGAGTGACCAGCCTATCCAAAGCTAACGGTAGCCTATCGAATGCTAACACTAGCCTATCCAAAGCTAACGGTAGCCTATCGAATGCTAACACTAGCCTATCCAAAGCTAACGGTAGCCTTTCCCATGCAAAGAGTAGGCTTTCCAATGCTAACTGTAGCCTCTCAAATGCCAAACTATACAACGATAACGTTAGCCAGTCCCAGAAACATAAAACCCGGACGTGGCCAGCCGATCTGCCTGTCTGTCGTTCTCTCTCACCATCTGATCGGCCAGCAGCAGGACGGTCTTCAGGCTGAATTTGCGGGAGCAGAAGTTAAACAAATCCTCCAAGCTGGGCCCCAGCAGCTCCATCACCATGACGTTGTAGTCTCCCTCGGCGCCGCACCACTTGATGGAGGGAATTCCCACTAGAGGGAAAACATCGGAGCGTTGGGAAACTGGATCCGTTTGAACTCATGTCATCTGGAAGCCTCACCTCCTCCCTGCATCATTTTGTAGAACTTGCTCTCAATGTGGAGCTGCGGATGTTTGGTCTTCACACATTCCAGCTTTATGGCGACTTCCTCTCCTGTAGCGATGTTTGAACCTGATGGACAGACAGACAGACAGAGACAGGGCTTCATCAATTCAGATTTAAGACTTTTTAAAACCTTTAGGTAAAAGAGAAACAGTCTTCCGCCCATAGTGCCAAACCTTTTAGCACAGAATGAATGAAGCATCGTAAGGATGAACAACAAGGTGATGATGAACATCGTCCAACCGACTGGCCATAAATTTACACTTAAATCACAACAGACACAAAAAGCTAGCTTAATTTAATTTATCTGATTTAATTAGCACAGTGCACATTAATCAACATTACAATTCATGGCAGTGTAAATATGCAGAAATTAGCAAAACAGCTAAACTTTGACCGTTGCTAGCTGTCATTTTAGCTACATTAGTTTTTCTCCTCCCTCTTTTTCCACTGCAGGAACCAGAACCCAATTTTCCTGTTAGCTGCTAATATACCTATGCTAGCTAGCAAGGATATATTATTATTATAACATATTAGCAGTAGCCTCAACCCCCTCAAGTCACAGAACGCACCTTACAGTAGGGCTTAGTCAAAGTCCAGATCTAACTCTAACTTAAAACCTGATACAGCTGAATACAAAATGCACACCACACTTTTCAGATTGAAAAAAAGAGGTCTGAGTATAGTACTGTAAAAAAAAAAGAAACAAAAACCTGAGAAGTGTGTGAGTAAACCAAGGAAGCTGTGATTCTCACCCAGGTAGATGTCTCCAAAGGACCCGCTCCCTATCTTCCTCCCGAGGCGATATTTGTTCCCAACGCGTAACTCCATCGCTCCGGAGCGCTTCACCTCTCTGGGACACAACACAACCCGTCAGTCAGTCAGTCAGTCACCGCTGATCAATACAGCAAACACAAAGTGGTGCAAAGCTGCAGGAAAAAGAAACTCTGCTGTGTCATGAGCGCAAAGAAAACTGGAGGAGACGAGGAAGAGGAGGAAGTAAAAGCAGTGATGAAGATGAGTCTGGGTCAGGGAACCAGGAGGAACGAAGAGAACCGACACGACTGAACCGCAGAAGCACCGAGAGCCGCAGCGGCAGCAAGAAACTCAGGAAACAGTCAGTTCCTGACGGGAGCCGCAGAAAAACGATCAGCAGCATTTTGGTTTATTTGACAGAAGAGAGAAAAAGAAACAGGATTCATTTCATTCATTGGTCCATAAATGTTAAAGTTCAACAGTAAACATTTAATTTGCTAACTAAAAATCTAACAAGATAGCTAAATATTTAGGCTGTTAATATTTACCACAGCCAAATACTTTGCTGACTTTAGTCTTGAACTAAATATTTAACTTCCTAACTAAATATTTAGGTCTGAGCTAAATAGTTAACAAATAATTCATAGTTTGTAAATATTTAGCATCATATGGTGAAGATATTGAAGGATTAAATCCTTTCTCCCTCTAATAACAGACTAAATGACCTAAATTATCGCTGTTTTCTCCGCTGTGTTGATGCTGGATGAGTGAGAGCGGAGCAGGACGGGCTGAGTTGTGTAACTGATCCGTCCTGCCGCTGCAGGGAGGGAAGCCGGACCTCCCGCTCCACCAGAAACCCACAGCCCGCATCCAAACGCAGGAAAATGAGACGCCTCTAACGCATCCGAGCAGATATTCCGCCAGGAGCCACAACAAGGCGGGACGCTTCACGCATCTGCCCCAGATAGCGACGGCCGCAGCCGCAGCATCGGATCCCAACCGCGCCCTGCAGCCCAACACGACCCAGAACCTCCAGAACCCCCAGAACCCGCTCACCGGCTCTGTGGTCGCTCCGTCTCAGTCAGGACCATGGACAGCGGCGCGCCGACGGAGTCCGAGACGGATCATACCCCAGAGATGCGTGACCTGAACGCGCAGCCCGCACGCCGCGCTGCCTCTCCGTCCCTCCCGCTGCGGCGCTTCGACTTCACTGCATTTTACAGGAAAGTCAGAGAAATAAAATATAAATCAAAGCCTAAAAGTCGCTGATTCTCCGCTGCGTGGCTGCGCCTCACACCCAGTCCGCTCTCAGTTTACACCGCTCACAATATCAATGATGTCATCCGCAGACAGCCAGAGATGCCCGGATGTTCTTAAAGCAGCAGCACATCCAGAGCTTACGCAATCAGAAACATTCACCAACATGCTGCAACGACTCCAGCAAAGGTTCACCTAAACACAACATTTAGGTTAACTAAATATACTTACTTAACTTGCTAACTAAATACTTAGTTTTGTTATCTTTGCTGTAAACTTACTATGCCGTTTCTGGCTAAATATTTAGGAAGGAAGTTAGATACTTCGCTTCCTGATTAAATATTTAACAAAGTATTTAGTTAATGTAACTAGCAAGCTAAATAAACCACAGTACTGCACTGTATAATGTCTAAAACCCTCTATACCTTTTTGTGAACATTTAGTTTCAAAAACACACTGACTTAGCTTCTCACTACATATTTTTATCAAAATATTTAACTTCCCAAGTGCCTAACTTGCAAGGTAAGCGTTTAGCTGAGCTAGCAAAGTGTTAACTTGCTAACTTAGCTAGCAAGTTAGATACTTAGCCTGCTAGCTAAATATCTGTCTTAAAGTAGCCTTGAATTAAACTTCTGCTGTTAAAAAAAGCATCTGAAGATCTGAGAGAAACCAGGAGAGAATCTCATAAAAAAGTACAAAACTGTTTTAGGTGTTGAGATGCTTTACCAGGTCGAGAAAGAGTCACAAGCTGTTAGACAAAGGGCCCATTGTAAAGAGTTACGTTTTTGATTCTGTTAGACTCTAAGGCCCATTTCTCAGAAAACAGAAACTTATCAGACCACAGAGACATGATGTGATTTCAGGGAGCATCTTCAGTCCATATCATCAGCCTCCCTCCTCCTCAGACCTGCAGACTTTTAGAAACTCTTCTCAGATGTAATGGTAAAGCGTCTCCTTTCAGCGCTGAAAGTGAATAAAATAAGTCTGAATGCTTTTGTTGGCTGATTTTATGCTCCATGTGTCAATACAAATTATGGTTCATCAATTAGGATTTCCATTCTCAACAGTGAAATAATTTCAAAGCATTCTGTTTTCTGCACGTTTCAATAAATTTAATTGAGTTTAAGTTCAGTTGTGTTAAAGTCCTGACTCTTGTTAAAATAAATTTATAATATATAAAGCTGTATAAATCCAATCCAGGCCATTTTTGAAGCATTTTCATTTTAACTTTTTACAGGATAAGTTTTTAATCTCATGATAAAAGTCAAACCTTTTCCAATAATTAAACACACAAACAGCCAGACTTCAACTCAACCTTTATTATCTTGTTCTTTTCTGCTTTAAATTAACTTCCTCTCCTTTTTGTAACATATGAAATAAATGAAAACATCCTGAACAGGAGTGATAATAAAGACTGACTTAATTTAAATGGATACATAAACAAAAAAAAAGAGGAAAACAGAAAAACACAGTAAAACATAAACAGGTAATGTCTTTAACGTGTCTGTAAAACACTGTTCCAGCTCAGCTTGGTATGGTAGGACATGGCATCTTCACACAAATGCCATCAGTTTCCTGCTTTGTCTTCAAAACAAAACATTTCTCTTATTGCATTTGACAGGAAAACAAAAAACGCTGCTAAAAAATAAACAACCGACATCAGAGACGTATAGAGCCAGATCAGTTTTTTAACTTTTCAGGCAGACGGTCGAAAAAATCCGTTTACATCCAATCGCTTCCCTGACTGGTAGCGCGCACACACACACACACACACACACACACACACACACGCACACACACGCTGAAGCGGTTCTTATGAATCTCTCCTGGACATAAAAGAAAAACATTCATCATCATGTTGAGCCGCTGGACGCTCTTCATGCACTCAGGCAGGCAGGAGGGCAGCTTTACAGCGAGTCATGGTTGCATCAAAACAAAAAAACGACACAAAGATTCACCGATTTCTTTAAAACATAAAAAATATGATAAACAACCAACGTACACCGACAGAGATACGTTACTGTCAAATATATGAGCAGAGAGGGTGATGACGGGGTTCAGCCAAGGCCACAGCTGTCGCAACGTCTTACCTGTTGGAGTAAAAAACTAAACGAGGAAGAGGAGGAAGAGGAGGAGTCGATGAACCCAGAGGCTAATAGTGCAAGTTTGGCTAACGATGCGTGTGTTTTACCCTGGGTCCCTCTCTGATGGCGGCGCTCCGTACCGGCAGACTAACCTCCGCTGACGCGTGTCGCCGTGTGATTCAGTAGTGTGGCGCCGTTCCTAAGCTCCGCCTCCCTCTCCCCTCCGGAAACGGAAAACGAACGCGCCCCGGAGCGCCGGGCCGAACGCGGGCTCAGTCTGCGAGTCTGAGATCTGACCGTTTAATACAGATACAAAAACAAAGTGACGCACTAAAAACAGCGAGTTTACTGGTTGCCATGGCGACCCGGAGGGGCGGAGCCTGAGCGGTCTGGATGCTGATGGTGAGGTTCTGAGTTTAAGTGTTGCTGTCGTCTTCATGTCGGAGGTCGGCGGGTCAGATGGAGTCGGCGCCGCCGCCCAGCAGGTCACCCGGCAACAGGGAGGCGGGGCTCCCCATCTGGTGGCGGTCCTCCAGCGCCGGAGACGCCCAGAGGCCGCCGCCGGGGTACCCCCCCATCCCACCCCACAGCGCCGGCCGTGACGCCTCCGCCGCACCGCCGCCGTTGCTGCTCCACTGCGTGAAGATGCCGAGGCCGGTCGCCTGGGCGGCGCCGGCTGGGTCCGACGGGCCGCCGTCCAGACTCTGCCACCCTGAGCTGGAAGACGCGGCGGCGCTGGAAGGGGCGGAGCCTTCCACTCCCCCGGCCGCGGTGGCGGCTCCAGGCCGGTCGCCGGCGTTGCTGCCGGTCCCGGCGGCGGCTCCTTCGCTCCCTGCTCCTCCGGCCTGGGAATGTGCAATATAACGAGCGACCTCTTCCTCGCTGACGAACTCCGCCAAGATGGTGGTGTTACCCAGAACGCACCTGGGGCAAAACAAGATGGACGCCGTCACTGTTATCACTGAGAAAAGCTTTCAAAGGTAAAAACTAGCATAAAACTAGCATAAAACTAGCATGCTCTCTTCTCAATTGGTGCCCAATGATTTTGCAGCAAAGATTTGTCTCAGTTTAATAGATTTTTCCAAAGGTCAAAGGCCAACTACTCCCATCATGAAGAAAGAAAAAATATATATTTTTATTAATGTGAAAAGCTTCAACTGAGGAAACCAGCATGCTAACTCAACTGGTGTCAATCTTTTAGCTACTAAGCTTCACTGTAAGATAATCTGCACTCGGCTACGGTTTGGCGTTTCCTGTTTGCCTTACATGTGGAGCGCGCTCTGGGCCTTGGCCGCCTCCTGTTTGGAGCCGTAGCGGATCAGAGCGGTGCCCTGGGTCAGGCCGAGGTGAAAGGTCAGCAGGGGGCCGTGCTGCATGCAGATGGTTCTCAGGGTGGAGCCGTCGATCTGCGGGGACACAGCAGGCCAGACGGCGCTCAGCTGGCAGCCGGAGCTCACTTCCTGTTTACGGTAAGGTCGGCGGCGTGCGTACCTGCGGCGTGAGGTTACTGAGCACCAGCCAGCAGCTTTCCCGGCCGTTCCCGTCGCTCCAGGTCGAACCTGCAGACAAACTTCAGCTTATTCTGGAGCAGATGGTCACATTCATCATGTTAAAGTCAGTCAATGTTTTTACTTCACCCGTTTCAAATTCTTTTATTGCATTTTAGGCAATGAAATGTTTGTTTTCTTGTTGGAAATAAAATTATTTGCATCTTTTAAAGTATTTCTAATATTTTATGAAAAAGTTTGAGGTTAAAGAAAAATCTGTTGAATTATGTTTTATCTGGTGTATTATAGCTCCGTTAGCGTGGTTAGCTCCGTTAGCGTGGTTAGCTCCGTTAGCGTGGTTAGCTGTACCGGTGTTGGTGGCGCCGCTGCCCCAGCCCCTCCCAGCGAGCCGCGGCGCTCCTCCAGACCAGGGCGAGGACGACGGCGGCTTCTGGCCGGCGAGGCCGGGCGGAGGCCGGGCCAGCTGAGCCTGGATGCTGCTGCTGCGGCTGGCTTTCCAGGACTTGTGTCCAATGGGTTCTGGAGGCCAGCTGGTCTTATAGTCTGTGTACTTTGCTGCAGAAAGCAACACATACATACAAACATAAACAAACTCCACCAACTTTTTTAACTGTCATGGCCTTATTCTGCTGTGATGTGAGTAAAAACTGGAATTGAAATACAAAGGAAGGCAGTTCAGTTTATTTACCTGAGTTGTGTGCATTGTTAAGAAGGCTGTCTGAGGCACTATAGGGCCAGGCACCAGGTGAAGGCAGCAAGGTGTTCAGGGGGGGGGTGGAGTCTGCAACACAGGGCAAACAGTCTGACCTCAAGCTGACCCCAGCACAGTTCACCTGCTGCCCAACCAGCACTTTAACATCCAGTCATCAGTTAAATCCAGGAAACTCAGAAAATTATGTGGCTACAAAGGAATAAAACTTTAAATGTCAAAAAGTCACAAATATGCAAGAAAGGAGATTTTTCTGTGACTGAAGGCTTAAATTTATATTAAAACTAAGATCCTCTGACAGTTTAAAGACAAAAATTAGCATGAAAAAAGAAAAATAAGTCCAGACAAGTTTAGCATCGTCAAAGATCCACAAAGTTTCTGCAGGTTTCACAAACTCAGACCCAAAACCGTTAAGAATTAAATTTAGAAAAGAACAAATGTTACTGAGATTAAAGCTGCTGTTACTTTCTGACTTCAGCTGAACAAACAGGTTTCTGTCCAGTCAGCATAACTGATGCTACTGGACGATAAATCATGCCAGAGTTATCGCGATAAACAATAATATTGTTTTGAGACCATTTTCTAGTAATACAATGACAATAATGCAAGAAGGGAGATTTTTTTATTTAGTTATAAATAAAACTATTTCTAATGTTTTAAACTTTAAATTCTGATGGATGTTTAAAACCGGACCTGGAAGACATTTTAAAAATACAAAAAAAATAAAATGAATTATGAAGTCTTTAAATTATCGTTTAATAAAAGTTTTATTTGAGACAAAAACATCAAACTGAAATTTTATTCATCCAGTTTTTGATACAAAGAGAAAAAAATGATAAATCATGAAAATGATTGAATTATTTTAATTTATTAAGCTTTTAATTGATTGATTTATTTCCAGGAAGCGAACTTTCATATTTACGCTATTATCAATAAATAACGTGAAAATGGTCTCAACACATTATTATTATAATAGTAATTAATTCCAACTCATCGTTTCCTGCATCGTGACCTCTGACCCCGCAGTCCGTACCGGTATTGTCTTGCAGCAGCTGGTGCTCCGAGTCGTTGAGGCCGGGTGAGACCGCGTTTCCCATCATGCTCCCCGGCGTCATGTACGGGTCGGACTCCGGGTCGACGCGGTCGATTCCCTTCCACGGCACGCCGGGCTGGAACTCTGCAGCGGGAACAAACATGGCCGTCAGTGACGCCAGCGGCCCTCCTCCGGCACCGCTTCCCGGCGGGTGCACCAACCGGGCGGCCAGCTGGGGGCGCTGCTGGGCTTGGCGGCCATCTTGTTGCCTGGGGTGCGATGCCAGCCGTCGCTCGCTCCGTCTCCAACCAGCAAGTCAAACTGGGAGTAATGGGAGGCGCCTGGCATCTTGATGGGGGTGATTGGGCCTGACAGGAAGCAGACGAATGTGACCCACAGCCAGAAAGTAACGAGTTACTTAGTTACTTATTGGAAAAAAATACTTTTAGGATTATTTCTGTGTCCAAACTGAAGAAAAATGCAAAGATATTTTATTTTTATATTCTGACCAACAAACATTTTTTATGAAATCTGTAAATCATTAAAGGTCCGAGACACAAAAATCACTTCAAACTGTTGCCTTATTTAAAGAAAAATAAAACTGTGCATCATTTTTGGGATGTTAATCGTTTTCTGTTTTATTGGCCAAATTTTTCATCATTACTGACTTGCAGTTTGCGGCCGAACCAAAGTATTTTGAAGGGCCATGAATGGCCCCCGACCCACACTTTGGACACCTGTGTCGTACATTTTACTTTTGATTTCAATTATTTTCATTTTGGTCTTTAAAATTTTTCAAATAACTTTATATTCTGGTGAGATCATGTAATTTTGTTTAGTTGCTAATTTTAATCTCTGGTTTTTGAAGATTTAATTTGTGGAAAATCTGGATTTTTAAACTGTTTTTCCACCAATGAGCTCCTGGGTTCAGAGTGATGTCATCGCCCCACGGCAGCCATCTTGTTTGACAAACGTTATTTACATCTATTTATTTGGACTTTAGTTCAGGTTCACCTCATGATGAAATGAGAGTCAGACTAAGATTAATGTTTATTTTATCAGAATAAAGTCATGATGCTACAAGAGTTCAGCTGCAGTAAAATCAGGATAAAGTTAATATTTGGAGAACAAAGAAAAATATTTTTAAAACTATTTAAGCTTTTCCTCATTAAAAACGAACATTTATTTAGCAGTAAATTAATCTTTATTTTTCTAATATCATGAGTACATTATTATAATAAAACAAATTCTTCAGTTTGACCCTGAAAACACATTTTATGACTCAGAGTGAAGATTGAAATAAAAATCACTTTTTGAAAATATTTTCTGTCATTTGTGATTTTTTTTATGAAATAAGGCCAAAAGAAAAAAACAACAAGTTAATTATGAATGTATGACAAAAGTTGGAAATGGGCAGAACTAACTGAGTGTGTAAAAGCAGGAGGTGCCTCCATGACGGATCGTTTTCCCAGTGTCTCTGCAGAACCTCAGACCCACCGGGTCAAAACGTCGGCCTCTCACCGTTTTTGTGGAAAGCGTTTTCCGGTGAGGACGCGTCGGGGGAGCAGCTGCCCTCCATCATCCATTTGAAGCGGGACTGAGGCGCCGCCGGGTCCTTCATGGCGCCAGCGCCGCCCACCATGGAGCCGCCCAGGTCCAGACCCGGCAGGTTCACAGCAGAACCGAAGCCTGAACACACACACACACACACACACACAACCATTAGCAAACAGGATAGTACTGATCGGTAATTAATCACATTTTGGTTTCTGATCGATTTAAACTTTCTGCAGCTGAGGAGTCGATGCGCCCAGGGCGGCCATCTTGTTTGTTTACAGTCCGTTTGTCCGCTGAATTCAGGTCGAATCTACGGCCGAGTGTTCGGCTCCAGGTCAGATGTTTTATCCATTTGTTTTTATTTATGATAATAAAATCATAATACTGCAAGAATAACGTCAGAATTTTATGAGAACCCCAAGATAAAAAAGTAAATAAATAATGTTAAGCAAACTTTGGTAAAAACTTTAGAGATAAAACTTTATAGAAATACCAGGCCAGTCGCACAAATCAATAAATCACATGATAATTTAAAACGGACTCAATTTAATTTTTCTCTTTCTACCAAAAACTGGATGATAAAAGTTTTCAGTCTGGAGTTTTGGTCTGAACAAGCTCTTATTCTGAAGGACCATTTTGTTTCCAGAAACTCCATAATTCAATTTATGTTTTATTTATTTAGGATATTTAAAATGTCTTCTAGCTCCAAAGTTCCACCAATAATTTAAAGTTATTGCTGTGTTCTTGCATCTTTATGTCATTGTTATCTTTATGTTACTGGATAATTGTCTCAAAACAACAATATTATCGTTTATCGCAATAATTCTGGGATGATTTATCGTTATGACTGGCCTAAAAAATCCTTCACCTTTTAACCATCAGCATCAAATTATTGTCAGTAGCAGAACTTTGAAACTCAAAGTACAAACAAACAGAAGCTGTAAACAAACAAGATGGCCGCCCTGGGCGCATTGACTTCTGAACTACAGAAAATTAAATCATCACAAACCAGGAATGTGATCAATCGATCAATCGATCAATTGATCAAACGACAGAAGAATGAAATGATGAACTGAACAAAACTCTTGTAACTAAAATGTTTTTTCAGGTCAAATTTTGTTTCTTTCTGCCGTTTCTAACTTTACTCCAGCAGTTGGCGGCTCACTGACCCGAGTACGGTCCGAAGGGTTTCTGCTGCAGGTCCGCCACGGACCCGGCCAGGCCCGGATGGGGCAGCGCTTCGGCGCCGGGGAGTTTGGGACCCGACACGCCGTGGTGGGAGGGGGAGAACTTGGAGCCGGACCCCAGGCCGCCGATCTGCTGGTGCTGCCTCTGCTGCTGCAGGACGGTCATGATGCGGGCCAGCTGGGGAGGCGAGGAGGAGGAGGTGATGAAGAGTAATTGAAGGGAAAAACTGGACTGGCTCGTTATTAGAAACATTCATTCTCCTTTGCAGAGCTCCTCATGTCATTCAGATTTAACCCTGAGCATCAGTTTCATCACCTATTCCAAGCTAGATTTAGGTCTGGACTTTGACTAGACCGTTCTAAAGTCAGTCCCTCCAGGATTTTATGATTGTTTTTGTGATTTGTGGTGTTACTTTAGAAAATATTCCAGGAATTGTTATATTTCTTGCATAAATACAGAAGGAAATAACGGCTGCTGTTCTGATGACTGACCTGCCCAATGCAAAATGTTTACATGTTTGTGCAGCTTCATTATTGCTCTGTTCCTTCACTAACTGGCCTTTTCCTGAGTGTATATCCCAGCAAACGGCTGCTAGTGGCGTTTGGAGCAGCGGCCAGGTGTGGCGGTACCTGCTGAGGGTCGGGCTGCTGACGAACGTTTGGTGAGAACTTCCTCTGGTTCTGCAGCATCGGCTGCGGCGGCGGCTGCTGCTGCTGCTGCAGTAAGAGCTGACAAGCCTGAACACAAACAGAACAAACGTTCAGATCTACTGTCAACATTTATTAAAGAGAAACCAGGTTCTGAAATCAGCAAATCTTTCAACTTGTTCTGATTCTTAAAGGGCCAGTATCATGTTTTGTTTTCCAGGCACATGGAGCCATTTTGTAGCATAATGAAGTAATTATTACTTTCAGCTGAACAGAAGATAACTTCCTGATCAACACCTTGAAATTGGGCCTCTGTCTCTTTAAAAGCTCCTGCTCCTCCTGAAGCTCCGCCTCCAGGAAGTCGTCCCAACATGGCTCCTTTTTAACCCTTTCATGTTTTTACCAGTGTTGCTCTGAGCAGCAGCTCCTGTAATGAGCTGTTTGCTAATTGCTGCTGGCTAGTCTGAAGGAGCCTAGTGGGGAGGATTCCTTTAACAGTTTTAACTGCAGCTGAATCGGCCGCCCATAACAACTCATCCCTCTGGACAATAAATAAGTTATTGCGTTAAACAATAATGTGGTTGTTTGAGACCATATTCCAGGAATATAAAGGTAATAATGCAAAAAAACATGATCAAAGATCAATAAAGTTTAAATTCTAATGAACATTTAAATATACAAATAAAACAGAAATGAATAAAATGAATTACGAAATGTCTGAGACCAAAACACCAGACTGAAACTTTCATCATCCAGTTTCTGATGGAGAGAAAAAACAGATCATATAAATGGAAATGATGGATTCTGCTTTAACTTGTCATGTGATTAACTGATTTGCTGTTTGAGGTTTGTTTATTCCAGGACTGCGGCGCGGTGCTCACCAGCTGCAGCTGGATCTGAGGCGGGTAGATGCTGAGCATGGCGATGTGCTGCGGGGACAGCTGTGGGGGGAACACGCCTCCCCCGACGGCCCCCACCGCCCCGCTGGGAGGCGGCATCGGCTTCAGCATGGAGCCCGGCACCTGCAGAACCACAGGCAAGTCAGCCTGACGATCCATGAACAAACCCACTGAACCTGCTGCATCTGATCAGAACTTCTTCAAATTAAATACCATTTAATATCTTTCCAAACTGACCAGGATTTTGGAATATTTTGCATTTAAAATCACTGATTTGTGGAGCCGACTTAGAAATATTTGCAAATAAAGTTGGAAATTTGTGCTTAAGAGGTAAATGTGACTTTTTGTTTGGTAACTTACTAAGTTGACATGAAGTAAATCTGAGGCATCAGAAGAAAGAAGTGCTGCAGTGCGGCGTTAGCATCACTTAATGTTTTTGACCATTTTGGTGGAAAATTTGCAATAAATTCGTGATTATGCATTAGTGTGAAACTGACTGATGTAGTTTAGCAGAATGCAGATAAAAAACTGTTTAGTGTGACTCAGTAATATTTAAACCACAGAACTGTTTTACTGAAGGCTAAATAAAAAGCTGCGGCTGTCCGGATTCGGCCCGCGGACCGCGAGTTTGACACCTGAGGCTTAGATGAAAACAAATCGGCAGGAAGTCAGGATTCGTTCCTAACGGTGCAGACTGCAGGTTTAACCCCTCGCTGTGCTGCGTGTACGGTCATGTGACCCAGACTAGCAACGCGCTGCGCAGCGGGACCCGCAGATCAACCGTCACCGGAGAAACTCTGCTCACGTTGAACCCCAGAGAATCAAGACGTGACTGAAACGTCGCTGCGCTGAGCTGCAGAACGGTGAGATTAATGAGGAGAACAGGATTAAACGCGGATTAAAAAGCAGAAAAACATGAGAATCCTAAAACCTACAGGAACTAAAATAAAAAGAAAACAAGATGCATAAAAACACAAATCAGGTTCAAAGTACAAAAACTTGAGTTGATGTCAAATCAGCAGAAAGACACTTCTAATGTATAAAACATGTAAAAAATAGACGCATTTCAGCTGCACATTTAGGTAAAATCTGCAATAATCACGCCAGTCTGACTGAAATTAATAAGAAAGTGTGTTTAAGTCAGTCAGTCTTTAACTGAACCTTTTCAATATTTACAGAGACGAACATGTACTGAAAATCATTTTAACACTGCGCCAATATTTACTGGAATAAATGAATAAATTCAGGAGCGTCCGCTCACAACCAGGAAGATCTGAAACTCGTCTCAAAAACTCCATTTTGAGTTTTGCGTCTTTTTTAACGAGATGTTTTACGTCTTAAACGAGAAAGTCTTGTAAAAACTTTCACTGCATCTCATTTTCACCAACACTTTTCATACGATGGAAAAGTCACAGCAAGAATTTAGCGAAACATTTTCTCTCCTTATGAAAAGAAAACTTTTGGATTTTGCACGTTGCTATAGAAACAAAAAAAAACTCCAAAATGCTAAGCTTGCAGATTATGATCAATCATTTTTCATTTTCAATCAATAAAATGCGAAACTTTCAAAGATGTGGTGATGTGCTTGGTGTGGATGATCACCACCGCTCAGGTGACGCTCCTACCAGGGAAACAGGAAGTTGGGACGGTTGTTACCTGGGCAGACAGGAACTGATGAGGCACTTGTGCTCGCATCCCTGGGGACTGGTTTATGGGCGGGACACCGGGCTGATGCCGTGACTGGGACATCCCTCCGGTCCCGCCAAAGATACTGTGGCCGCCCTGCAGTCAGAAAACGCAGCGTTTAGCGGCTAACAGCGGCGCGCAGGCGGGCCGAGGAGAAGGTTTGGGCGCCACCGGAGGACAGGGTCTTACTTGTCTAAAGGGGACAGAGTGGCTGAAGAGGGAATGGGGCTTGAAGGCGGTGGGAGGCGAGTTCAGAGAGCGAGGCGCCTCGTCTCCAAGGCAACCATCCTGATTGGCCAAATGTGAGGTCTGTCAGAGCGACAGCCACAGGCCGACCAATCAGAGCCGCAGAGAGGGGGAAGGCAGACGGAGAGAAACGACCAGGCAGGGAGAAAAGCAGAGTCACCAGAGGGAAGGCGGTTCGGACGCAGCGACGGGCGAGAGGCCGTACCTTATCGTAGTAAGACGCTGCGTCCGCCGGCGCCGGCTCTTTGGACCCGGGACGGTACAGCATTCCTCCACTCGGCCCTCTTCCTCCTTTCCTCATCTCTCCGTTGTAGTCGTTCATCGCCATCCCCCTCTTCTCCGCCTCCAGCTTCTTCTCGGGCGGCAGGTCCATGTTCGGCCCGCCGGGCTCGTCGCTCTGTCGACAGATCGGACCGCGGTCAGACAGGAAACCTCAGCTGCGGAAACAACTAACAAATACAAACTTTGACGCGTTTATTGGGACTTTAAGCAACAGGTTGGATAAAAATCTGAGAAGTGCGGCATGCATTTCTCCCAGAGCTCTGATCAGTCAGTCATCTGAACGTGGCGACTCTGGAGGAGCTGCAGAGTCACCATGACGATGACTGCTGCATTCAAGGCGCCTGGGAAATGGGAACTCTGAGCTGGGAATTTAAAACGTCTCCAGTTCCAGTGTTAAATGTCTGAGTTTAGACAAATCCACATTAAAAGTTGGTTTTACAGTGCATTGATTCAGAGAGGGGATAAAACAAATGCAAGCCACACTTTGAAGATATTTTATAATAAAATCTCTAAGGCCATTCAGCTCCGTGGTTTTGTCCTGGAACATTAAGGTTTGGAGTTCTGCTTGTGACGAAGGTCCGTCGGTATGGAAACTTTTGCTCTTCGCTGTGATTGGGTCATTAGTTTTCAGCCGTACCAGAATCCCCATGTTGGAAAACTGCCTGTTGATGGAACTCATCCAGGAATCTCCTGCAGCCTTCAGCTGAGCCTGAAGAAACCAGAGCAGAGCTTCAGCAGAGGAAACACGGAGAACTGAAAACAGGCTGCCTGCGATGCGACCTCTGACCCCACTGAGGTATCAACTCGCCTTGCTGCCGGTCTTCTTGCCCGGGTTGCCTTGCCCCCAGCCTCCGTTGCTGCCCTGGCCCCAGGAGGAGCCGCTGCCCTGGGAGCCGGCGCTGTTCCACATGCCTCCTCCGTCCTCCTCGTCCTCCCAGCTGGAGTGGCGCGACGCCGCCACCGAACTCTCCTTCTCCCCCCAGCCGTCTTGCATAGACTTCGAACCTTTAGATGAGAGTCAGAAAGTTAACCAACAGTTGATCAGAGTCGACATGGAGGAGCTGCCTCCATGTCGACTCCTGAAGCCTCAACCTGCCTGAGACGGTGAACAAACAGGTTCACCGTTTTCACATGCGCCTTTAAAAACCTGGACCAGGCTGGAAATACTGAGGTAAAACCGGCTGAAACTCTGAGCAGCCAAAACGACGAACAGCAGAAATGATGACATTTCATTTGGTCTTTGCACATCAAATATAAATATCCCTTTTTATGAAAACTATTCACCATGGATGTGTTTCCAATCTGCATTGCTACATATTAAGACAACAATATATTTTATTTTAAATTCAGAAACAAAAAACAAACACTGGATTTTTTAGCCATTTTGTTTTGAAGCAGAAAAACCGAAGAATGACCCAGATTTTATTTTGGATATTTAAAACGTCTCCCCAACGCAGTTAAAGCTCATTGGTTTGAGACAAATGGTCAACATGGTCTGGAGCAAAACAACATTATTATTATTTATTGGAATAATTACTGGGACAATTTATCGCCCAGTAACAGGCACAGCTGTAGTGCACTAACAACATGCTGGCTAGTGCTAAAACAGCAAGTTAGTAACCATGGCAACCAGCTCTTTATGCAGTCAATCCCTCTAAATGCACAGAACAGATTCAGCTCCAAACATGATGAATAAATGAAAAGGATTTTTCTCACCAGATCTGATGGAGTTTGACGGAGCGTTTCCCCAGCCTGCCGGCTTCCCCCCGGCGTCGTCGGCTTCCCCCCAGCCAGTGGGAGCGTCGCTGGGTTTCCCCCAGGCTGCCGTACCGTTGTCCACCGCCGGAGCAGCTGGAGACGCGCCGCCCCAGCCCGAAGGTTCTGCAGACAGACACAGACGTTCCTGGATTTACACCAATATGTCCACACTCAGCGACTCTGAGACTTCAGCCAATCTAAGCTGCACATCTGCTAAAGCTACTGATCATTATTAGCCACTTCCAACCAAAACTTATGCACATTTAGAGCAAACTTTTAAAACGTTGCATGGTGCAAAACATGCATGTTTCCATCTACCAGCTGGAGCGAACCAAACATGTTGACGCTACGCGTGCTGTGATGGGTAGCATGTCGTTAATGCGAGGCTAGTTAGCATAGCCACTGATGATGGCTGTGAAACGGTTTTCCTGTATTGTTCGTTTCTCTGCTATTAGCACATTTAGCAGCGAGTACATGCGGTTGATTGACAGCGGTACGTCCCTCCTCCCGGCTCTGACTGGCTGTTTCTGGTTGTTAGCGGCTCATGTTGTCAGACAGCCAGATCAGATCAGGGAGATCGATCAGTTCTCGGATCATCAGCTCCAAACATGGCGACAGATTAACAGACATGTAAAAAAGGTTCTTTAAAAGTTTCTGCAGCTCTAACTGGATCATGTTCTGGTACCTGTGAGCGCCGCGGTCGGCCTGTTGGGCTTCTGCTGGACCGGCGGTCCCGGCTGCTGGTTCTGACCCGGCCCGTGCGGCTGCTGGCTAGCAGTGCCGCTGTTCTTGTCCCACAGGTTAACCGGCTTGTAGTTGTAATGGGTCGGGTCTCCCCACGCCGACGTCCCGTCGTCGATCTCGCTCTTCCTGCTTATGGACTGCGGGGATGGCTCTTCCCAGCCGCTCGGTTCTGGTCCACTCCCGCCTCCGGCAGGGATTGGTCCGGAGTTCCAGCCTGAGCTTTGGTTCTGCGCCTGAGCGGCCATCTTCCTCCCGCCGCCGCCACCTTGCATGGCCCCTTGGTCCAGCTGCGGGTTCTGATTGCGGGGCTGTGATTGTTGCGGTTGCGCCGGCGGGCCTGGCATGGAGCCCGGCTGGCTGTTTGGCATCTGGTGCATTTTATTTCCTCCACTCCAACCCTGGTGGGGTTTGGGCGCCATGCCTCCAACGCCATCCACCCCGCCGCCTCCTCCGCTCCCTCCCCCTGTGCCTCCTGCCCCCCAGCTCCTCCGGGGGGCGCTGCTGTCCCAGTTCCCCCAACCACCTCCACCTGAATCCCCCCCTGAGTGCGCGCCGCTCCTCCTCTCATCATCCCAACCCCCACCCGATTTGGATTCTTGCTCCAACCAATTCTTACCCGATCCAACCTTGGGTTTTGATCCCCAGCCGCTGCCTTCGTCGTTCCCCCCTACGTCCTTCCAGCCCTCCGTCCCTTTCTCCTGCTGACCGACTTCCCCCCATCCTCCGCCCTTTTCTGCCCGACTGTTGCCCCTCCAGTCTTCGCCGCCCCAGTCCTTGGCTTCATGATTATCCCCTCCCCCCCAACCCGCCGCCTTGCCCTGGGTCAGCCCGGACCCCACGCCGGGTGCCACCGATCCAGACTGCGACATGTTCCTCATGTTGGTGCATGCGGTTGGGGGGCCTCTGCCGGACAGAGACGCCCCACTGCTGCTGCTGTTGCTGCTGCTCTCCCAGCCTTCCCCTGATGAACCGGTGGAGGGAGCCAACGAGGGACTGACCCCCGGACCCGACGAGTCGGTGCTGAGGGTTCTGGGTCCGCCCAGAGCGACGGGGTGTTTTGATGAAGCTTTGCTTTGTTCCTCGACGTCCCAGGCCGTGTTTTGGCGGATCTGCGTCTGGCCCCAGCCGGAGTTGGACAGGACCCGCGGGTCCAGGTCGGACCGGCTGAGCAGGTTCTGTAAGGCAGCTTCTGCGTTGGGCGCCTGTCGACGAATGCGGTTGCCGTTGGGCCCGCTTCCACTTCGGGAGTTTCCGCCGCTGGATGAAGAACCCCCGTGTCCTCCTGGCCCCCCGGCGCCGTCGCCCCATTCCCCAACTTCCCCGTCTCCTTTCTGATTGTCCCAGGCTCTGCTAGCAGCGGGGACGGTGGATGAGGACGCAGTGGGGGGGTTCCCTGCAGTGCTGCCGCTGCTGCTGCTGCTGTTGCTGCTGCAGTTTCCCATTTCTTCAGCTGCAGGTTTCGACCCGCCACCCCAGTCGCTACTGGAAACCCCTCGATCCGCTCCCACTGGTAACCCCCATCCTCCCTGAGATGCCCCGGAGGTTTGACCCCCATTTTCAGCACTAGGGTACCCCCAACCCAAAGTCCCTTTATCCCCTTCTGCTGCCCCTCCCTCCCATCCGTCAGTCCTTGAGGCACCCGTTTTGGAGTAAGCTGCAGGGTAAGGTTGGCCTCTCCAGGAGGGGGCATGGCTCGGGTCTCCTGCACCTACCCTGGCCCCCCCAACACCATGGTCCATTCCTCCCCCAATCCCTTCCCCCCCTGAAATATTTGGTCCCGCTGATTCACCGTCCCACTTCCCCCCTCCAACGTCTCTGTCTCTGGATTGCATTTGGTGAAGTTGGTGCTGATGGGCGCTTGACTGATTCACAGATATAGATGGGTGGCCCCCCAGGCCCCCGGCTGCCCCGCCCCCCAGCCCCATGGAGGCGGCGTTGTTGGCAGCGGCGGGGCCGTCCTGCTGCACCAGAGCAGGCCAGGCTGAAGGGTTGGCATTTGGACTGAAGTTGGCACCTGGAATTCCACTGCTACCATCCAGGGGGCCACTGGCGTCGTGGCTCCCGGGCACAGCAGGGGCTTTGGAAACAGAGGAGGGCTGTTGCAGCAGAGGCCCAGCTGCACCTCCTCCAAGATGACCCTGGGGGGCAGTTGACCCCCACGCCGCACTGTTAGGCAACTGCATACATTCATTGGGCAAAGAGAACGAGGAAGTGGGTGAGGGTTGGCCGCCAGAGGCACTGATGCTCGTCACAGGCGTGCCGCCGTTTCCTCCATCGCTGCCAGCAATACTAGGCCACTCCTCCAGGTCGTTGCCGTCAACGATGACCTTCTCCTTGCCCTGAGAGGGGACCTGGCTGCCTGAGCTTGCCCCCCACATGGAATTTGCATAATTATTAGTAGAAGCAGCAACTGATGGTGAGGTGAGAGCCAATGAAGATGCAGAATCTGTAAAAAGGGATAAGGAAGTCGGCAAGAGTCAAACAGGCCAGTCTGATTAGACATTTAATTACAGGCTAGAGTCTAATGGTGTTCTCCTCCTTCAGTCCGGTCGACCCGGTTCTACTGGAACCAGAACTCCATCATCTGCTCCACCTCCAGCTGCTCTGAGTCAAACCAACCTGTTCCCCTCCTGGCCTGTGGGGGCGCTGCACCAAGAACCACTGAAGGAAACCACACAAAAATTGGTTGGAGGATTTCTCTTTAGTCTTTGGTGGATGGCATTCTGGGTAAATCCAACCAAAGCTAACGTGCTAGCCTAGCGCTAGCAGCAGAAATGGCTCCTGGTCTTTAGCCTAAAGAGAAATCCTCCAACACTAAAATCTGACGCCTCCATCTTGTTTCCACCTGGTGAAGAAGGAAGTTGCTCTCAGTGTCTTCAGAGGTTGTTGTGTCCTTTCCTCCGGTGGTTCTTGGTGCAGCGCCCCCACAGGCCAGGAGGGGAACAGGTTGGTTTGACTCAGAGCAGCTGGAGGTGGAGCGGATGTTCTGGTTCCAGTAGAACCGGGTCGACCGGACCATCGGGGGGAAAACAGACTTATACTAAAAATGTTTGCATTACTCATTCCCTTCAGAGTTTTGTAATTCCACAACTGTGGAAATTTTTTACAAAAAAAACAAAAAAACAAAGTGGCAGTATTTATTTTTTCTACTGCCTCAGCTTTATCTGATGTCTAATTATATTGGCAATATAACAATAATCGAGTTATTTAAATCTTTAAAGAATAATTTTTTTATCTGCATGTTTTTTCTTCTACATGTAAATTTTGGTAACACTTTATTTGAAGGGGGTGAATAAGACTGTCATGACACCGTAATAAACATGTCATAACACCTGTCAGGAACATGAATAAGCCTTCATGAATATTTATGATTGTTGTCATAAAGCGTCATTCGGTAAATTATGACACTTTTAATACAAAGTTGACATTAACCAAGAAATCATTGCTGTTCAAACTTTACCTTTAATAACATAAAGTTACCTAATTTTTAAAGTGCAATCAGTAAAACTTTTATAACAAATTTATACCAGAACAAATTCATGTTCCTGACAGGTGTTATGACATGTTTATGACAGTGTCATGACAGTCTTATTCACCCCCTTCAAATAAAGTGTTACCAAATTTTGTTAGCAGTTTAACGAGAAAAAAAAAATCGCAAATTCTTTGGAAATGTTTCTGAAGTAGCAGCATAAAATCTGCTCCGTCACAACCTGCAGCGTAAAGGAACATGGCCGCCTTACCTGAAGCAGCAGCCATGTTTGTGTTCGGGCCATCGCCCCCCCCTCCCAGCAGCATGGAGGACAGCGGCGGCTGCCCCCTCTTCAGTAGCACTTTATGGTCCTGCTGGCAGCGAAATCGCGGCGGCACTTCTCTCGGCATGTAGCGCGATGGCTGCTGATTCGCCTGGGCTGCGCCGCCGCCCGCGCCGCCGTTCCCAGTGGCGCCGGGGCCGGCGGCGGAGGAAGAGCCGGTGTTGGAGGCGGGCTGTCCGTTGGCCACGGCCAGGCGCTTGGCATTGTTGCCGCCCGGAGCCGGGGGGGCAGCGCTGCCGGGGCCCGAGGTGGCCGGGGACGGAGCGGCAGTGGGGGCGGGCACAGGGCTGGGGGAGGCGGAGCTGCTCTGGGCGGCGGGAGACTGGGCAGCAGCCGGCTTGGTCACGTCTGTCACTGCAGCGAAAGAGAAAATACCAAGAAACTGATTGGATGACAGCAGCAGACCGAGGAGAAGCAAACGAGTGAAAAACTAAAGCAAAAATCAAAGGCGCATGTTAAACACCTTTTTAAAAATTAATCTCTTTTGTAATTAGGCCAAACATTTAAAAATTATAAGATGCCAGTTATTTAATTAGGATTAGTAAGAAATAATTAACATTTGCAGAAAAATCTAATAAAAACTAACTTGTTTCTCACAAATGTTAACATTTTGTTGAAGCAAAAAAGTTTCTTCTGTTAATGTAAAGACAATAGAAGAGATTTAATCACAAACATTAAAACTAGTCCAACAGATGGAAACAGCAGTTAAATAAAAAACATTACATTCAGCTTACCTTTGTTTTTTTGCTCTGCAACCTGAAATGAAGAAAATGTTTCTAAATTAATCTTTTCATTCTTTTCATGAAATACAATTTGCAGTATTGAAGCTTTTCAATACATTTTCACATCACAGTTAATAATCAAGTAGAGATCTTGAATTAATCAAACATAATTAATCACCATGAAGTACAGTTTTAGCTCAGTTAAATAAAATAAAAATTCACTACAGGTTAAGGATCAGCTGGACAATTTCTCCTCAATCAGAAGATAAAAAACAACGACCACAGTATCCAGAGAAATCAAGGCAAATTAAGGAATATTTAAGTGATTTATTAGTTATTTCCTGTGATTCTGATTTTGAACTCATAATTTTGTGCAATTAATTTCTTTGAGAATCTGAATCACTCGACTCGTTGCAGATTGCAGGTCGACTTGCCTTCTGAGAGGCTTCCCTTTTCCGTTTGTCTTCCTTTTTCCTTTTCTTGTCTTCCATGAACTGCTGCTCCCGACCAGATTCTCCCCTCTACAAAAAACAAAAACAAACTGTGACTTATTAAAAAAAAGAAATTTCAAATGTTAAAGGTTATATCAGGGTTTGGAAACTAAGAGTAGCTTAATAAGGTTTAGTAAGTTCAGTTAGCGTAAAGGAGCTAACTGAACTTACAGTGAGTTAGCATGACTGTAAAGCAGCAGACTGCAGGCTAGCCAAACAGATTCTGACCAACCAGCTTATTATGTTTCCACTGCAACTCAATCAACAACAAAACTGCAAGAAACCATAATATCACAGTGAAGTACATCATTTTATTAAGTCTTTAATCTCCCCATACATCTGAAAAAAACTCAATGTATCCATGAAGCAGCAGCTTTAGCTCACAGTGACTCAACAGACGCAACTAAGGTAGAATATAACAATTTACTTTTTAAATGTTTTAAGCATTAAACAAGCTGCTTGGTAATTATTAACGAATTAAATAGTTGCCTTTAAAGAACCACTGAATGTGATGCAAAGTAACTGGAAAAATAAATGTTTTATTATCAGCAGTGCAGATAATTGCAGCTTTTTATACAAATAAAAGTATTTCAGCAGAACATTTTGTTTTAAATCTAAACACAGTAAACCAGTGAGATGTATCAGGGTTGAGGAGTAGAGAATCTCATACTGAAATAAAAAGCATATTTAATAAAAACAGCAGGATCTGGTCTGTTTGAAACTGGCAGGAAAACCAAATCATTTGCATAAATCTGTTCATATCCTGCAGCCTTAGAAAAACAAACATCCATCTAGATCTGTAAAGACGAATAAAACCTTGTTTGAAAAGTATTTAGAACATAGAAATGTGTGGAGGCAGATGCAGTTCATGAAATGAGCATTTCTACAGAAATAAACTTAATGAAAATGTGAGCTGAAGCAGCAGTTAAATGCCAAAACTTATAATCAAAGGAGACGTCTGAGATCATAAGGACAGCCTGAACATACAGTCAGAGATAAACAGAAAGGTTCTGTGAACAGCTGGGCCGGGCCTGGGTGTTAGTTTCGTTTTTGATTTTTCCAACCCTCAGGATTCCTGAGCTCAACCTGGCATCTGACTGAAGCATTTCTGACCTCAGGCCTTAAGATTCACCCAGATGTTGATGTTCCCATCAGTCAGACCCCCAGTGACCCCCAGGTGACCCCCCAGGTGACAGGTGTAGCTCAAATCCAGCAGCAAACGTTCATGCAACATTTATTCTTCTAATCCTTCAGCTTGCAGACCAGCTAACGTCAAAGTTAGCAGGTCCCCTTCCAGAATGAGTGGAAAGGGACTTAAGGGGAAAATGCAACAAAAGGCTTTAATAATAAATTCACTGAGCACAGACAGAACCAGGAACCCAAATTATCTGGTGGCTGAGTATCAAACTCGATTCTTATTAGCCCGCTAATGCTAACACCAAGGAGTGGTTTCATTCTTCGGTCAAATATATGCGCCCAGTAAGGTGTTAACCAGACAACCCAGTGTTAGGTTCGGTTAACTGGTACCAGCAAACACAGAAGGCCGAACCCCTAGATCTGCTATAACGCTCCGCTACACCTAAGCTAGGTTCCTGACAGCGGCTACAAGCCGCAGCTAAAGGCGCTAGCAAGGCTACAAGCGCCGCATTTCTCTGACAGCTACGGTATTTTTGCATGCACACCATTTCTAACCCAAATCAGGAGTTATCAGCAGCACCAGCGACTCACCTCAGGAATCACATATGAAGGTTGGCTAGCCTGCTAGCTAGCTTAGCTAAAGTGCTTCAGTGCGAGCTTTCTCTTTTTCAGGCATTCGTCGAGGCTACAAGGACTTGGACGCCTGAGCGGAGAGTCAAGTAGGTGGAAAATGATGAAAACACCAAGAAATAATACGCTACCGGTTTGCAAATAAGTACTAATGTTCCAAGTCTAAACGCTAATGTGCAGAAGAATTTAAATTTCAAAGCGCTGTGGACTCAGTCGGTTGACGGGCGGCCATTTTGCTGCTCAGCATGTAGCGTCTCCAATGGGCAGCCCGAAGCAGCTGCGAGGAAGCGCTCTGACTGGCCGGATCCCGGCGGGAGGAATCGGTAAAACAGCCTGCTGACCTTCACGGACCTCACGCTAATTTCACGCCGCTTTGCATAGCGTCTGTACGGGACGGAAGCGGTCCAGTGTCGTTCAGAAACGGAGTGAGAAGATGGAGAGTCGGAGGGAGCCTTTTATGCCTTTTTAAGAAGCCGGCATCCGTCGGAGGACCGTATCTTTACACGGTGTTAAAGTGAGAATTTTTCTCGTTTTTACGGCATGTGGTTAGCCAGAAGCAGCTGCGGGGAATCGTTCTCTTTTGTTTTTTTTTAACGAGATGCTGCTAATGACTTCATTTCCTAGCTCTGGTAGCTAAATACTACGTTGGAGTTGAAAGTTACAAATGTAAGAGTACTTTATTGATCCCAATGGGAAATTAAATGTCGTTCAAATTCTTTAGTCACTGTAGATGGTGACGGTTATTGGCAAGAAAGATCTCCGGTAGCGGTCTGTATTACAGCGAATAAGAAGAAACCTCTGACTTAAGACGCTCTGTTTTCTAAGATTATCTCATGAAGAGGATGGTCAGGATTATAAACAATTTTATTGATTTTATATAAAATCATTCCTTGTATGATCATCTCCAGAAATAATTCCAAAATACTTTTTTGTAAAGTCAAAATCAGTTTCTGATTTTACTTTTCTCGGAATTCTGACTTTAATCCCAGAATTAAAAATTTAATCCAAGAATTTTACCCTTTTTTTGTCAGAATTCTGATTTAATCTCAGAATTAATTCTTTTTTCCACAAAATGATGTTGTTATCCCTCTAATTAAAAATTTAGTCAAAGGATTTACTTTTTTGTCTCACCTGGAACGTTGGCTGGAGATGGGCACCAGCAGCCCCCCGACCTCGCTAGGGATAAGGGTGAACAGAAAATGGATGGATGGATTTACTTTGTTGCTCATAATTATACATTTAATACCAGAAATCCAACATTTTCTTTTTTTAAATCAGAATTTCAACTTTTCTCTCATATTTATAAAATTAAATTCAGATCTCTTTTTTTCAGTGGCCCTAATATTCTTCGCTACATCTCAGGTCATTTGGGCCTGAACTAAAATCAAAAGCAGATCTCTAGCTGTGATTTAAGTGGTAACTTTTCCTTGACAGGATGGCAGCAGCGAGGAAAAGGAAAAGTGAAGCTTTGGGAGATGAAACCGAGGATGAGGAGCGAGGAGACAGGCGAAGGAGGATCAGGATAAACAACAAACACATCGGCGCTCATGTTGGTATTCAAGGTAAACTTCACTTCCTCCAGCAGAGAAATGAGGTCAGTCCAGTTTGAGGTCAACAGCAGCAGAACGATTAACTGATGGCAGCAACATCTCATCCGATGGTTTTTCCTGACAGAAAACAGAAAGTTAACAGTTTAAATAGCAGCAAATTGTGCAAATGGGAGAGTAGTAGGAGAAGAAAGTGAGGGAAAGTGGCCAGTTTGTCCACCAGCAGCCCTGTAGCAGCACGACTGCAGAGATGAGTCAGGACATCCACTGGTGTGTCTCTGCAGGAGGGATCTGGAAGGCGGTGGAGTCCAGCGCGGCGCTCGGCGCCGGCGCCTTCGCTCTGTTTCTGGGCTCTCAGCGCTCGTGGAAGAGGCCGGCGCTGGACCCGGCCGCTGCGGATCGGTTCCAGGAGAAATGCTCTGAACTCGGCTTCGACCCGGCTCACATCCTGCCTCACGGCTCCTACCTGATGAACTGCGGATCGCCCAGAGACGGTTTGTCCTTCCGCGTGCCGGTCGCCTTGGGTCGGCCGGACCTCTGAGTTTGCGCTCCGCTCCGCTGCAGACGTGTCTGAGAAGAGCCGCGCCCTGCTGGTGGATGAGCTGAGCCGCTGCAGCCGCCTCGGCCTCCGCCTCTACAACTTCCACCCCGGATCCTCGCTGGGCGCCATCAGCACCCAGCAGTGCCTGGACAAGATCGCCGCAGCCATCAACCACGCTCACCAGCAGACTCCTGCTGTGGTCACAGGTACGGAGCAACAACAAGCACAAAAACATCCAGCCATGGTCAGAGCTGGTTCTGCTGCAACGATCAACACTAAAACTAACCAGGTGTTTATGTCTAGTTTATGATATAAATATATTAGTTTTGTCTTCAAATAAGACAAAACTAACTTACTAGTAACTTTTCAGCAAGATGCAGGATCTTATTTTACGTCAGTAAATCCTTAATATGATGAATAAGTTCTAGTTCCACTGGCAGATTATTTAATTTAAATGTAAATATTTTTCTCATGTTATGAGTGAAATAATCTGCAAAGTGGAACCAGAACTTTTTCATCAGTATTAAGGATTTACTGACTTAAATAAGCTCCAGAAAAGTTACTAGTAAGTTGGTTTTGTCTTATTTGAAGTGCACGAATATATTTATATTATAAACTAGACATAAATAGTTTCTTTGTGGCTCAGTGCTGGAGAACATGAGCGGTCAGGGCAGCACAGTGGGGGGTCGGTTCTGTGAGCTGCGGTGGATCATCAAGCGGGTCCGGGACCGGAGCAGAGTGGGGGTGTGTCTGGACACCTGCCACGCCTTCGCTGCAGGTGACACTCCGCCGCTTCCCGTCGCACCAGAGCCACCAGCTCAGAACGTTTCAGATCGTTTTCCGTTTCTTCTGGGAAGGTCACGACCTGGCAGCAGACGGCGGCGTGGCGGCCATGTTGGATCAGTTTGATCAGGAAGTGGGGCTTCGCTACCTGAGAGCGGTTCACCTGAACGACTCTAAAGGTGCAGCTGGAAAAACCTGAGATCCACGTTTCCAACGTTTCTGCAGGATTACAACAATTTAACTTACAGTTTAATTCAGTTTGTTTCGATTAGTTTTTACAGTGTTTGCTAGTTGTTATTAATTAAATATTGTTTAGTTTTCATTAGTTATAACGGTAGTTTTAGTTTTTTCATACGCTGATTAATTTTTAGGTGCAGAATTAAAAGAAATGAAGGCAAAGTGATTCTATCTGCATCGGTCAGGATGAAGACTTGGCAGAAGATAACATTTCTAAAAAATCTGATCGTTTCCCCAAACTTTTGCAGTGTTGCATAAAGGAATGCTGCGTGCCGTAAACTGCTTCTGTGGGGAAAAATATAAATTTCACATCAATTCAAAAGGCTGATAAATCGATTCATAAACATGAAAACAAAGGATTTCTTAACTAAAACTTCAGTTTTAGTGCGATTTAGTTCCAGTTGCTTAAAGTTTTTCCATTAATTACCGTTTTCTAACCCAAATGTTTGTTGGTTTTATTCAACCTCGGTCTGCTGCTCTCTGCAGGGAAACTCGGCTGCAACCTGGACCGGCATGAAGACATCGGGAAAGGAAACATCGGGCTCTCGGCGTTCCGGGACGTCGTCAACGAGCCGAGGCTGGACGGCGTCCCGCTGATCCTGGAGACGCCCGGACGGTGAGAGTCGAGCCGGAAAACCGTCCGACGACGGTTCAGCTGCAGGTTCTACCGCCATCTTTGTTTCCCTGCAGGCCGGGATTCCAAGACGCCGAGCAAATCGAGCTTCTCTACTCGCTGTGTGAGAAAAATAAAGAATGAGAGAAACAACCGAGGGCCACGCTGAGAACATCAAACAAGAAAACTAAAGGATAAAGTCACAACATTATGAAAATAAAGTTAAAAAAATGAAGAGAATGAAGTCAGAACATTAAGAACATTTTAAAAAATGACAATACAATTAATAAATTCATATTATTTCCTTTATTTATGAGACTAAACAAGAATGAAATCATATTAGGCGAATAAATTCAACATCAAACTAAAGTCACTATTATGAACAGTTAATGAGACTAAAGTATTGTAATAATACTTTATTCTGAAAATATAATTATTGAAATATAACTTTATTATGACTTTGTCCTCCTAGTTTTATTTGTGTGGCCGTAGCGCTCCATCACCATCCAACCGGTTTTAAAGAAATGTTTCCATTTTTCATCCTTAAATAAACAATTTAAATAAATCTGGTCCTGCGGGGATTTGCTTGGCCACAAGGGGGCAGCAGACTCTCAGAAATACTCCACAAACTTTATTCCTACGAGAAAGAAAAGCAGCAAATAGACAAAAACTTTCATATAATCCTTCAGAAAGAGCCATTTGTGGAGGTAAAATCCATATTTTTATTCATATTTTCCAACCTGTATGGTTTCATCTACTGAGCAGGTCCGGCTGCTGGGACTGGACCGGTTGGTTCTGGTTCCATCCATCTTCTTTTTATGTTACTTTGAAGATTGGATACAGTTGGTCCTGTCACAATAAACAACAAATCAATTAATCACATGATTAAAAAAAAAACTCTATTTCCATTTTTATGATTTATCATTTTTCTCTTCCTACCAAAAACTGGATGATAAAAGTTTCAGTTTGGTGTTTTGGTCTTTTTTTTTTAAGGTCATTTTGTTCACAGTAAATTTATAATAGATTTTATTTTGTTTATTTAAAATGTCCTTCTGTTCCCGTGTTAAATGTTCATCAGCAGGTGAAGTGTGAGATTCTGGCATCATGTTACTGGAAAATGATCTCAAAACATCAAAATTATTGTTTATCACAATAACTTCTGGGACGATTTATCGCCCAGAAACATTAATGACAGGCCAGGATTTGTTTCAAATCGACGTTTTGGGATGTTTTTATTATTCCTGGGTTGTAAACTCTCTGACCCAGACTTCCTGTTGGCTGCTGCAGCGTTCGGTCAGAAACACGTCAGCCTCACAGGGAGCCGATTCGCCTGGCGCCTGAGGTGAAATGGTCGGTTAATAACCGAAGCTCCCAACATTTACTGGCATTTTCTGACACCAAACATCAGATTCAGCAGCTTGATTGGATTTTATACGATAAACACAAAACTGCATAAATTATAATTTATCATATATATATATATATATATATATATATATATATCACGATATGATAATTTATCAATTATATCGTGATGAGCAATAAAACTGTTCTGAGATAATTTTCTGTTTATATAATAGAACAAACTTTAAATTCTTAACATTTAACACAGGAAGTAAAAAACATTTTAAATAAAATAAAAATGAAATGAATTATGAACTTTTTAAACAAAAATTAATTGCTCTTTAATGCATCAATATGGAACCTTATATCTGTCTAAACTAAATCCCTCAGCATGCTGCTGCCACCACTGTGGGGTTCATTCAGGTCAGACGTTTTCACGTCGCTCCACCAGGAGGAAGTTTGGTTCGACGTGAACGAGCCGCCCCAGACGCGGCGCCGCTCAGACAGGAAGTGGGGTTCCTGGCTGGAAGATTGGCCCCGCCCACAGGAAATGCCTGTCCAGCGAGTCTGCCGCTGCCGCCGGAGGAGCCGTGCGCTTCAGTCCGGCCCGACGGAGAGCAAACCATCGTAAAACCAGAATGAATCGGGTTCAGGACGAACAGAAGAACCAAATGGGGCCAGAAAACATCTTCAGATGTTTCAGCGACGCGGTTCTGGTTGTTTGCTCTGGTGGATGAGTCACTGCTTTGTGCTCCTAATATTTTCCATTTGCAGCCGTTATGAACCTTTAGAGCCCGGCGGAGAGAGGATCCGTCTCTGAAGGATCAACTGGAGCTTTTCCTTTCTGTTCCTGCCGTTTCTGCCCACCGGTTGCCATGGTAACGGTGGAAAAAAGGTTTCAGACGTGTGAATGTGAAGAGTTTACATCCTGACCATAAAAAAGAAAACTGCAGCAGAGGGTGTTCAAAGTGCGGTGCAGGGGCCATATGTGGCCCACAGACTGCAGCTAATTAATGCTAAATGATTATAAAACCTTCTGATAATGGAAAATGTTTGATGCGATAGAAAGTCTCCATGTTTTAATTACAGTTCCAGTAAATGGAAACTCATCAGTTTAGTGACTTTTAATCAGAACCAGAAGTCTGCTAAATACAAAGGGTCCAAGAGAGACTAATTACCTTTTATATCCTTATTCATACATTCATAAATATTTGTCTTTCAAACTAAATACTTACATTAGAGCTAAATACTCAACTAACATACAAATTCACTTCTACACTAATCTGCACATCCTTTTCCAAGTGACAAAAGTAGTGCTGCTCTCACTTGAGTTTAATTTTAGCCTGCTCTGCCCAGCTCTGACAAGATCTGCTGTACCGCCTGTAAACTCCACACACACACACACACACACACACACACACACGTTCAGAAGAAATTAGAGCTTCAGGGCAGAGTGAGCCTCGTTCTGCTTTGTCAGCCAGTCCTTTATTTTTGCAGCAGCCATCATGAGTCGGCCGGTCGGCCTGCAGCTCTGACTGAAACGTCTGGGTTTCTCCCTGAGGACAGAGTGTAGCGAGAGGCCGGCCGTCTGAGTGGACGCGGCTATAAACGGCTGAAACAGGAAGATTTACGGCCAAGATGGCGCTCCAGAAATCAACCTCAGAAAGGTCGCAGGCCTGGCTTCCTGCTGGCTCAGGAGGAGGAATGCTACCGAGGCCGTTTAAAAACGAACCAGAACCTTAAAGACGGAAACAGGAAGCGTCTTCATAAAACTCCAGCAGCTCAGACATTTGGTTCAACGCACCGACTGCAGTTTTCAGGCCGATCGCCGATCTTTAACGCTGCAGGACGCAACTTTTCTAACAATATTTGGTAACTTTATTTGAAGGGTTAACATGAGACTCACATGAACATGAAATATTCTTCATGAATGATTATGACTGCTGCCATTAAATAATGACGCTATTAATGCAAAGCTGCAGTAAAAATATGCAGCTGTGTGTGTGTGTGTGTGTGTGTGTGTGAGGGAAGCCAGTACATGCAGGGTCGGCCTTCCAGGCCCCAGGGTTCCGGCAGACATTCCTCACCACGCCAACGCTCCTCGCTCTAGAGGTCACCGCTCTGTGGAAAGGTCAACCAAACACAACGGTTCATACGGTTTACACCACGGCGGCTCTGTGACGCGTCGCAATCAGCAGCTCTTTCCACCTGATCTTTTCTTCCTTTTAATGGCTCAAAGTTTTTACCTGAATGCAGAAACCTGAGCAGAGCTTCAGAACAAACACCTGAGAATTTACTGCAGTTCACTTAATGCTGTTTGATAAACACTTTAATCACCATGGCAACCATTCAGCTGTTAAAACGCCCGAGTGAACCTCGCCCCGCCTCCGAGGCACAGCTCCTCCCCCTCTCAGCTCCTTCAGACTAGCCAGCAGCAATTAGCAACCAGCTGCTGAGCTCATTATAGGAGCTGCTGCTCAGAGCGACACATTAAAGGGTTAATGGAGGAGCCATGTTGGGACGACTTCCTGGAGGCGGAGCTTCAGGAAGAGCAGGAGCTTCTTAAAGAGACAGAGGCCCAATTTCAAGACATTAAATCAGAAAGTTAGATTAATTTACATGTATCATATTTTGTAAATAGAGCATTTAAATAACAATTAAAGGTAATCTTGCTAACATCCCTGAACAGATGGACACATGAATGGACGGACACATGAAAGGATGGATGAACAGTGCCATAAAATGGCTCCTTGTGCCTGGAAAACACATTATACTGCCCCTTTAAGGTAAACCTGGAGGGGTCAAGGGTCAAAGGTGACAAAGTTTCTCCGTCTTCTGCCTGTCCCCCTGTCTGTCCTCCGTTTGTCCCACTCCTCTTCTTGTCCCTCTCTCTCCGTCTTTCTGTCCTTTCCTGTCGGGTTTGCAGCAGCAGAAAGTATTTTCCTACAATGGTCCATTGTCCCGCTTCCTGCCGGGTCAGAATTCACGGAAACGCCGCAGAGCAAACAAACAGCGGCGGCTCTCCAGGCGGCGTGGGGCCGCTCAGGAGGAACCCGGCCCCTGCTCCGGGGCGGGGGGCGTTCCTGTCAGGAAGCTAATGGGCGTCGCGACCCCACGACCCCGCGGCTCGCTGTGTGAAAGCGGCGCGGCGATGGAGGCTGGAGGAGGGCGGAGTCAGTAAAATAAAACCGGCGGCGGGGATTTCCAGCTGAGGTTTATGGCCGGTCGTTTGTGACATCACAGCCTGGAAACGCTGCAACATCGTCTGGTTTTCACATTTAGGATTAAAATGTTTAAACTCCAAGTTCAGAAGATGAAACAACTGAGATATTTAAAGCAAAATGAGCTTAAAAAATATGTCATCTTCCCAAAAATAAAATAATTGGATAATAATTCAGATTACCAGTAATTATGGATATTAATCATGTTTTGGATGGATGGATGGATGGATGGATGGCGCCGTCTCTTTAAATCAGGTCAAAGTTCAGCAGGCAGTTGCCGTTTCTGCTCTTCGTTTTGTTTCTGTTTGTTTCTCTGCAGATGAAAAATGGTTTCTGGAAACGTTTCGCCTCTCGTGTTTATTCAGATCTAAACGGAGCAGAAAGAACGACCAGCAGGAATAAACATCGTCATTTCGGCCTGAACGTCAACAAAACTCACATCAACAGACGTCAGACAGAGCAGCAGGGAAACACCTGAGCAGGTAAACACTGTTTAGATTAACTTAGACGTTTCTGAGATTCAAAAGGAATAAAATACATTTTTAAAAATCTAGAAAAAACTTGAACATTTCTGAGATTAATCTAAAAATTTTCTATTTTTTTAGCCAATGTTTGACTTTTTAAAATCAGAACTTTTTCTCTTTTTTTCTAGAAAATTTCTGAGTTTTTTCTGGTAAACCTACCTCCATTTTTTTTTTTTTTGTATAAAAATGGGGGGGGAATTTAATTCCTTGAAATTGGACCTCTGTCTCTTTAAGAAGCTCCTGCTCTTTCTGAAGCTCTGCCTTCAGGAAGTCATCCCATCATGGCTCCTCCATTAACCCTTTAATGTTTTTTACCAGCGCTGCTCTGAGCAGCAGCTCCTATAATAAGCTCAGCAGATGTTTGCTAATTGCTGCTGGCTAGTCTGAAGGAGCTGAGTGGGGGAGGAGCTGCGCCTTGGAGGCGGGGCTAGGTCCACTCAGGATTTTTGAACAGCTGAATGGTTGCCATGGTGATCAAAGGATTTGAAATAATCAAGGCAACTCTCCAGGTTTGTTTTTGATGAGGGAAAACATGAAAACATGGTGGACAGATAAAAAAGTGGATTTTAAGCGACACCGGCCCTTTAAAACTACGTATTCGCAGTTAAGCACCTTTGAGGTTCATTGTTGCAACGTAACAAAACGTGTAAAAGTTCAGTGGTTGAACGCTGAAGGTTTTCAGTGTTTTACCAGCATTTCACCTCTTTATATTTAACTCTCCTGTCTTTGTGAATCAAACCAGAAACATTCTGAACTTTAGCCAAAACAAACCAAACTTGTTCACAGAACGTGAGAAACGGCTGGCATCGTTTCACAGCGGACCTTTTACAAACTGTTATGTGTAATTTAAGTCATTTCTGTTATTTCATTACCTGAAATCTTCAGTTCAAATCTTCCGTAAACACGTCCATTAGCAGACTGACTCATATAAAACGTTGGGTGCAGAAGGAGGAGGGCGCCAGAGGCTGAGTAAATATCCCGTTTGTGCCTCATAAAGAACTATTTTAGGATATTTCTCTGGCATGAAGTTACATTTTCTCTCGTTCTCTAACACCTTCTCTCCTCACACACCTACTGATGACAGGAAGCAGGTTTAGATGTTAGTGATTGTTAAACATGAAGCTTTTTAGTCAGATTAAATTATTTTAATAAGATATTTTTATCAGAATTTCTCCAGGGGAAAATATGTGGATTCAGAAAACGATGGGCGGCTCCAGGAAGGAAAATCTGCCGTTCCTCTTCCCGTCTTGACCCCGCCTGACCCCTGCTCTCCTTTGTTCCCCTGTTAGGCCGATAAAATTAGTCTTTGACTGTGAGCAGAACAACACAACAGCGAAACGCGTCTGCAGAGGAACCTGCAGCTGAAACACAAGGAGAGGATCTACTGACGTGTTTTTAAAGACCAACGTGGAGCTTCAGTGTTTGGCTTCAGGTCGGGTTTCCATGAGGAGCCACTTGTGAAGCTACAGTAAAAATTAATAATTTATTTTACTTAACCTGATGGAGACAAAATGGGTTTAATGTTTCAAAGTCATATTTTCACCATGTTATTTATTAATCTATAGATGTCACAGTTTCATGCTAAATATTTAGCTCCTAGCTAAATATTATTTAGCTAGGAGCTAATAATAATATTATTATTATTATTATTATTCTTTTAGCTAGAATAATTTTTCTAGCTAAATATTATTTAGCTAGAAAACTAAAAATTTAGCTAAAACTAAATATTTATAGTTAACAAGCTAAATATTATTTAACTTAAAACTAAATATTTAGTTCGTTCAGCAAGTTAAATAATATTTGGCTAGTAAGCTAAATATTGAACTCAGATTAAATATGCAGTTACAAAGTTAAATATTAAAATTCAAACTCATTAACCAACTAAATAATTAGCTTCTAACTAAACATTTAGTTAAAAGAAACTAAATATTTAATCTGAAAAAGAAAAATTAGCCCCCTGCCGGTCCTGGCCAGGCTACTTTATAACAACAGTGTCGTCAGCATATAAACGTATTTTAGCTACATTTAGTCCATTTATTTGCTATTTCTCCTAAAAACTACCTGGTCCTTTAACTTGATTAACTGATTTTTGCACAGCTGTCCAAGTCAACATCACACCTGTAGTTTACCTGAGTGTAAAATCTGAAAAACATTCGTTATTCACCTGGTTGTGCTTATGGTAGCTAGCTCTTTTCTACAAGTACGAACATTTAGTTCTTCTGTTCTCTGCTCATTTCATGCATCTGTTTTCAAGAAACAAGCCGTTTAATTGCAGCGTTCTGCATCCCAACCCTGATCGCTCACATAAAGATCTTATTTCATGCGTTCTTGCTGTCAAGAAAACAAACACTCTGGGTCATTACTCTAAGAAAAGCTTTCCCAAACAGGCTGTGATAAGCAAACGCCAAACTGGATTGTTTGGAAGTCTGTGTGAATCAGAGACTTTATCAGAGCAAAGTGATGAAGGTTTCTGACAAATCTGCAAACAAGAATCCAGAGGCTCCATTTGGTCAAACTGACCAGAGCAGCAGGGACAAAAGGTCAGATCCAAAGGTGACAAAACTCAAATCAGTGAGAAACGATGGAGTCGTGAGAGAGTTTAGAGAAGAAACACAAACTTAGACCAAAAAAAATGGAAAACAGAGGGAGGGAGATTGTGAAAAGCACTAAATTTGTAATCTTGCCTCCCTTCGGAGACTCTGAACGGCGTCCAAAAGCTTTTCTGAGCAAATAGCTGACATGCTTCAGGACAGAAGTTGTTTATGTTGGGTTGCAGCACAGGAGAGAGAGGAGAGGATGCAGAAACAGGAGGGGGAGGGGGAACAGAGAGCCGCTAACCTCAGAGAAAACAGAGGATGTGCTGCTTTTCCTACTTCATGTCGTCAGACAGGTTCTGCTCCGGTCTTCATTCTGCAGGCCCGCCAGTGATCACATCTGAGGGAAATTTAAAAAACTTCAAATCTTTATTTCATAGAAACACAATCATATCTAAATGACGTCTTTACTGCAATCACCTCAACTTACAGAAAAATAATGTCATGGATTTATTTTACACACAAATCTGGAGTCCAACCTTAAAATGTACAGAAAAGGATCAAGGCCAAAACAAAATTAATTCTGATTCTTCCTCAGAATTCTGACTTTAATATTCTGATTCAGAAAAAAAGTTAAAATCCTGAGGAAAAATTATCAGAATTCTGGTATGAAAATCAAAAGTTTGAGATTAAAATCTGAATTTTTGGGGAAACAAAAATAAAAAATTCAGAGGAAAAAATAATTCTGAGATTTAAGTCAAACGGTTTTCCCCCAGTGGTTTTGATCCTTTCCCATAAACATGACACCAAGAGTTCCTGATTTCATTTATTCTTTTTTGAATTATTTTATATAGATACATTAAAAAAATAAAGACTTAAAGTAGGCGTTGCTGATGAACTGGTTTCTGTGAGCAGATCAACAGTTCTTCGGTTCTTCGGTCGGCCCGTTTCCTTGGCATCACCTGAGCCAAAGGTTTGGGAACCATCAGCAAGGATTCAGAGTCACATGGTGGGTCTGCTGAAGGCGCCGTGAGCCTGAGCCGAACCCGGAGCGAAAACTCCCAACACGTCCTGCATGCGGGGCGGTGGGGTCAGGGGTCAAAGGTGGCAAGACACTCAGCCAGCTTGTTTGGCTCAGATTCATGCCAGCGATAAATCCTCCTCCAGAGTTTAGAACCATTTTAAAGTTCGGATCCCAGTTCTGATACCTGAATCTAACTGGACCCACAGAACGGAACCAAACCGGGTCACTTCAGGATGAATGATTCACATTTTGTTCAATTAGCACCGCTAGCTGTATTGTACACTTGCCACTTACTCAATAAAGTTTTCCTAAAACAAGAACAAGCAGAAAGGAAACGGAACTGCTGCATAAACAACTTCAAAATAAAAGCATGAATATAAATCTCAAACTACTTGAACTTTTAACAGTCAATGACCAAAATTTCAACACAAATGTTGAATTATTCAACATACAGTTTATGAAACAGCCAAAAATAAATTAAGGCCTCAGTAGCTAAATGCACTAAATGTTTTCAGGTTAGCAAAACGCTAAAGCACTAAACAAAAAACTAGCTCTAATTAGCGTCTTCCAATTTACTAGTAGAAATTAAATTAGGGTAGATATTAGCTTTAGACTATAACTTAGGTTAAGCTTTTAAAATATCTGCATGTCTAAAAATGTGATTTTTATTAAAAAGCAGGAAAAGCAGATAAAATGTCAGCGGAGGGCAAACAGGAAGCGGTGCTGCTGACCTCAGAGGTCAGGATGGGATCCTCTTCCTGCTGCAGCGTGAAAACGTTTCCATCCTTTCAAGAAGCAACACGGCGACAGAGACGATATATTGATGTAAAGTTTAACGGCAGCAGCTGCAATAAATCAAAATCCTTGTCAGATTCGTCCAGTCCTGGTTGGACTAAACGTGACGTTGTGGAGCGTTTCTCAGCTGCAGGCTGGGAAATCCGAGGGATTCGCTAATTGTTGTGTTGCTAGGAAGCAGCAGCAACACAAACAGATTACAGGCGTGACTCATGATCTGCAGCCTGCAGGGACGCGATCACCGGCATTAAAACCGTCTGAAGTGCTAATAAATACGGTTTACCTCAGATTTTTACTACATTTGAATTGAGTGGTTTTCTTCAGTAAACAGGATAGTTTCGTTTCTGCAGAAGCCCAAAGCCAAACTGGACCCTCCGGACCAGGACGACAGGTTTATGAAAAAATCTGTTTCTATTTAAATCAGAGCAAAACAAATAGATTAAAGTTATAAATAATTTCAGCTTCAATTCAGACCAACATTAAAACAAAAAGTTTAAAAGTTAACAGTTCCTACCGACTCAAAAGATTCAAAATGACATCTACCTGCTTTTTGAATAAATTGTCACATTTTTATTTTTTCCTGTTTTTACTTTTTATTGTCTGTTCAAAATAAATAATTGTAATAAAAATGGAGATTTCATAGGAATATTAAATCATTCAAAAAATAAAATCTGACCAATAAAGAGGTGGAAAAAAAAGGTTAAACAAAACCCCAAATTTAACCAAAACAGATGTTTGGTTTAGCTTTAGCTTCAATATTGTTTTCAAAAGATAATTAATACAAAGCACATAAAATCATTAAACTATAAAAGCCTTGATTTCCGGATCTTGTTCTGGTGCAGCTGGTAGCGCTGAGCTAACAGGGTTAGCTTTAGCAAAATGAAAGGTTTGGAAACTGAATTTGTAAAATCGGTTAAAATAGTTAATACAATGAGAGGCTTTACTAATAATACTGAACAAAATTAACTCACCGCTTATTGTGCGTCCAAAAGCAACTTCTTTTTTTTTTCTCCTTCTTTTTCTGGATTTTTACTGTTGGTTAACAAACCAACTTACCGCCACCTACTGGACTGGAGTGTGAATGGCAATCAGAGAGATTCCTTCTATAAAAGCTTCTTAAACAGATCTGAGTCTCATACAGGAAGCGAGAAAACAGGAAGTGACATCATGGCTCTTACAGGAGTGAAACAACAATGCAGTTTGGTAACCAGGTGCAGCTGATGACACATGTCAGCCATTTTGGATTTTTAGAATGGATTGTTATATTTGGTAAAGCATTTATTTGTGTAACTTTTTATACACGCTGCAGCCATTTTGGATTTGTGGTTGTCTGAGGTTTAAACAGGACAAACCTCCTAAATGCTGAGTCATGATGTTCTGTCATTGATACCCAGGATTTGCTTTTATTTCTCACTAGAAAAAAATCGCCGAGCTAGAATCAACCAATGAGAGTCAGGAGGCGGGTCTTAGCGCTGTCAGTTGCAATCTAATATGTTGCAGCTAGCATGTGAACGCTCAAACTAGTTGGTGACTAATGATGGTGGATAAATGGTTTTCCTGTAACAGGTGTTTATCTGCCATTATCACATTTGGCAGCAAGTACATGAGATTGATTGGCAGCGTTAAGCCCCTCCTCCTGGCTCTGATTGGCTGTTTTTGACGGGAGGACTTATTAATAAGTCAGGAGGAGATTTTTTCACAGATTATCTCACAACAAACTGTCATGACATGGAGACAGTCTTAGCAAATATGTAAAAACAGAGATATTTTTTTTGTAAATGTAGCTTTAATGTCTCAGTTTTGCTAAAATGAATCAGAAAGTAACACCAGGGTGTCCTAATTATTCCACATGACTAAAATGTTTCCTAAATTTCTCAGCGCGCTGAAAGTCAGCAGACATTCATCTGATGACGTCTGCTGACATTAAAATCAGGAAACTGATTTATTTTAGTTGAATAAATCAGTGATCGATCCTGACCGCCGGGTTTGGATGTGGAGCTCTGGAGCGGCTCTCCCAGGGTTCTGCTGGTATGTGAGGCTCAGCCCGCCCCTTTCCGCCCCGCAGACCCAAACTCTCCGGCGGGACAGACCCACAGCTCCGGCGGCTCGCTCGGACCACCCGGACCCGAAGCGCGCGTCCTGTCCGCGGGAAGCACAGCCAGCCTGGAGCCGCCGCGTCTCATCGCCCTGATCCGGGTCCGCCGTGGCCAGGTGAGAGTCCGAACCGCTTAGCGGGAATCCAGCCTGGTTTTTAGGTAAATGTGAACTCATTTGAACTTTCCTGGTCATGCAGAGGCTTTGTCTGCAGTCAGTGTGATTCATTCAGGGGCTTTTGGAGCCGCTTTCATTGCTGCTGCTGCATGAACATCAATTCAAAAACATTTTTCCACTTCGAAGATGACAAGAATAGAACAGAAATAACGTTTATTCAGGTGTACCAGCAGAAAGTTAAAGATAAAACTTACAAAAACAACAAAAAAACAGGAACAAGAGGCTGAGCAAAAATAGCAGTTATTCCAGCCTATCACCGCTGTGGCATTCTGGGATTAATAATTAGACTCTGTTATCTGAAGCTGCAGATTAGGTGCAGTTTCAGATGAAGTCGTATTATTCTGGTGTTAATGATCAAACCGTCTGCAGCAGATTCACAGATTCATATCCAAACAGGAGCAGCAGCAATAATTCACTTTATTTCCACACTTCAGCAGGGCTTTGGTTGTAATTACACGCCTGTGGAACCTCTGATTCTGTGAAACACGTTAAACAACCGGAGGGTTTAAATTTAGCAACAAGCCGGGCTCAGTGAGGTGGGCGTGATCCTGGGGTTCGGTGCCCTTTGACCCCACCGGGACCACCACGTCAGGCTGCAGCGCTGCAGCAAACACCACCGATCAATAAAAAACAGAGATGGCCACAAAAACCCGATAGCCAATCAGGCTGGGACAGATCCAGGCCGATTCTGCAACCGCCAGTCAGGCCGTCGCCGTCAGCAACAAATCAATTCATTACATGATCAATTAAAACTCAATCACTTCCAGTTATTGTTTTTCTCTTTCTACTGGATGATAAAAGTTTTCAGTTTGGTGTTTTGGTCTCAACTAGCAGAAACTTCATGATGAACTGGATTTGTTGTTTTTATTTCTTTGGATATTTAAAATATCTTCCAGTTCCAGAGTTAAATGTTCAATAGAATTTAAAGTTTATTGATCTTTGAGGATGTTTTCTTGAAAATGGTCTCAAAACAACAATATAATCGTTTATCGCGATAACTTCTGGGGTAATTTATCACGTGGCAGCAGATGGTTAGCACAGGCATGTTTCCTTGTAGCCAAATGATTTCCAGTAGCGTCGGCACGCTGCTAGCTGATGACAAACGTTTCCTGAGGTCCTAGCATTCCTCTGACCCCTCGTGACCTCCGGGTGTGACTGACGCTGCCGACGTGAAAATCGGCCGCTCCTCGACCTGCCGTGTTGATTTTCACACGGCTGAGCTCGCTGCGTTTCTCCTGCTGCCTTTGGCCTCAGTGTGAAGTTTGGAAACCTTTGACATCACCGGCGGCTGTCAGCAAATGGTCACAGTCCAGTCGACTGTCAGTGACCTCTGACCCCATGTTAACAGACGCACTGTGTTGTGAAGAGCTTCAAGCACACAATTTGGTCCTGACACCAACGACTGCAGATTGAAGGGCAAACGTCACTTTATGATGGCATAAAACCTGCATAGATAATAACTGGGCTTTCCAAGCAGTTACACAATTTAAAAAAAGAAAATTTTTAATGGAAATTTGGCTGCAGAAAAAAGGGAGGGAGATTTTTACAGAGACAAAGACAGAGTAGGACTTCAGTTGTTTGTGAGCATAAAGTTTGTTTCCTTTTATAGTGATTTTTACTTCTCATCACTCAGAAAATGTTTATTAGGATGGATTAAATTATGACATATGAATTTATTCACTTATTTATGTATTTATTGGGTTTTATATTTATGTCTTGACTAAAAAACAAGGCTGTAAGGTTTGTATGACATGAATATGATTTATTACAGAGACAGAAACTCCTCTAGTGGTGGCCAGGCCCCCCGTGGCCACCTTTTGGGGACGCCACTGCTCATTATGTGTCATCAGTCATAGAAACTGTCTAATAATGTCAGTAGATTTGATTAAATCTGAATCTGGAGCTTTTTAATAATCCTCCTGCATTAATCTGTGACTAGCAGCATCGATATTTGGGCCTGAGAACTGAACAGTTTTAATCTGTAACATGTAAAAAGTCAGAGAGAGAAGGCGAGAACAGAAGGAAGTCGACAGAAACACAAACACAAAGAAGGAAAGTCAGGAGTGCCAGGAAACAAAGCGCTGCGGAGAGGCTGGACGTTTTCTGGAGGCATGCGAGTGTTTTTTCTTGGCTGCAGAGGAAACGTAGGGCTGTTTTTCTTGGACTCGGACTGAGCGCCGATGGTGAAAATAGGAGCGTAATTGAAAGTCAAGCGGTGGCCCTGAAAATCGTGGCCTTATCGCGTGTTTGTTCACCTGGTTGGTGAGTAACTGAGAGGAGAGGAAGACTGGAGCTAAAATATTCAATCGAATGTGGATTTAACTGAAAACCAGCAGAAATCCATGCAAATTTAAGAACAAGATAAATGAAAACCTGATGTAATTTAGAGGAGCTGAGGATGGCAGAGAGGAGGAGGAGAGAAAGATCCCAAACATGGTTTCAATCAGATGGTCGTAATGGAGACTCCACCGAGTGATGCTCTGCTCAGGAATGTGTTCAAACACACACGGCTCCCTTCAGACTGTGGTTACTCTGGTTTACATCTAACAAAACCATCCAAAGAATAAACTGCTCAAACGACACGGGAACATTGGAACGAAGACTGAAATCAGAGAGAAAAACCGGACTGCAGTTCTTCATCTGGTAGCTTAGCTTTAAAAAAAACAAAGTTTAATTAACTTGAATTTAACTAACTAACCAACAAAAGAAGTTTTAGGCTGTTCTCCCACCTGATAATCCAGCAGATTCAGTTTGATCCGGGACCAAAACTGCGACATTTATTACATTTTCAGCTGTTTCAGTTCATAACCAAACTAACCGAGAAACCTGTTCCCCTCCTTGCCTGTGGGGGCGCTGCACAAAGAACTACTGAAGAAAACGACAAAGACAAAGAAGCTAATGCTAAACTGCTAAACAGACTTTGAAATAATAGCATGAATATTAATGTATAAATACTTGAAGAATTTTTAACAGTCAGAAGCCAAAACTGACGTCATTCAGCTGAAGGTTTACAAAAATATCCAAGTAAATTATTTAACTTTTATAATTTATGCCAAGAAATTAATTCAGGCAAAGCTAAGTTTGCTAAATGTTTTCAATGTTAGCTAAAGCGCTAAGCTAAAAATGAGTAGTGACACTGGAGTTGTTTTTTATAGTTTTGTTTTGTTGGACAGCAGATAAAAGAGAGAAAATATTTAATATTTGAATCATATGCTCATGCTAATAACTGCTCATGAAAGACTTTAAACAGTTTGTTTTCATGTCAGAAAATCCTCAATAAAATGTTTTTTAAAACAGTTTGTCTGCAATGAGAATTAGTGATAAATAATATTAAATATTGTTAAATTGTCTGGGAAAGCTTCTCTTGAACTCTTCATGAGTTCACAGCTTTAATTCCTCTAAATTTTATACGTTTTTTCTCTGCTGTATTTTCCCCGTTTTCTGCTCTAATTAATTTGTTGAAGTTAATTAGATTTTGACGGGCAGGTCAGCTAACAGCTAACAGGCTCTGAGCAGAGGGATGATGGGAGAGACGAGGATTACAGGATAATCCAGGCTGCTGTCAACGCTTCCCTACTTTTCTGTTTTCTAAGACAAAGACAGACAATCTGGGATTAAACCATTAAAGCTTCAGATTTAATGCTGTCAGGCTTGTTTTTGTGATATTTCATGGCATTTTGAATCCCTATGATTCTGCGTAGCTAATAATAAACGTTTCAGCGAGGAGCAGAGAAGAAGAGTTGTTCATTAAATACCTGGCAGGAAGTTTTGGAGGTTCTTCCTGCTGTGTTTAAGGTCTTTTAATGGGATTTTATCCAGATAAACTACATCTGCGGTTTGCCTCAGAGTAATTAGGAACTCCTGCCTGCGTTTCCTGGAGTTACAGCTGAAACCAGAAGTTTACAAACACTACATAAAAAGACATGCATTTTTTCACACGAGCTGCATTTCCATTATAAATGTGCGACAAACCTGATCTATTATCCGCCAATATAAAAAAAACAATGCGGTTTTCCATTAAATAAGAAACACAATTAAAATCACATGAATAAGCTTGTTTACGTGATAAGACATAAAAAACATGCAACGTAATTGTCCTCCTACAACTTCCTGTCGTTGTCTTTGTCGTTTCTGCCAGTAGTAACATCCTGTTGTTGCTCATGTGAGTCCTGTGATGTGAAAAAAGCGTTTCTATTGTAGTTTAGTGAAATAATTTGGATTCAGCTGAAAAACTGCCTCATCCTGGCACAAAAACTCATGGAAAAATGTGACTTTTTTAAATTTCCATGTGGGCAATTGTTTTGTCATTTCAATTTCACATTTTATTGTAAATGGAAACGCAGTTGGAAAATTCACATGATGTAGAGTGTCTAAACCTTTGACTTTGAATAAAGTTATAGAAATTGCCTAAAATTCTCTCATTATTCTGGCATTTAGCAAATAGAAAAATATTTGGTAATCCTAATTTACCTGAAACAAGAAAAGTTTATTCTGGTTTCATCTCTGTGTGAAAAAACAGTATGTCTTTTCTGTATGCAAACTTCTGGTTTCAGCTGTTTGGGACGAGTTTACGCTTTAAAAACTTAGGAAATCCCGTTTTCCTCTGGCTCCGCATCGCCTGCGCTGCTCTGCTGCATGTCTGCGACGCCCCTCTGCCAGCGGCCGCCCTGGGCAGCCGGCGCAGGGCCAGCCTGGTCTGCGGTCAGCGGCAAATTACAGGGGCCGCCTCGGCCCTGATGCCATCCTGCGTGTTGTGAACCGTAGCGGCTCATTAATGACGCCAGGCTGGGCTTTGGTTGTGTGGGAGGCCTGGAGACGTTTAGCTGCTGTGAAAAACCTCTAAAGAGAAACAGAGGGGCATTTTTTAGCTCTTTGTGCTATCAAAATATTTTTAGACGGGATATCAATTACTCTTCTGGAACAGAAAACATGTGGCAAAAAGCCAGTTTGCATGGTTTTACAAAGACTTATGAAGAAGAAAGGCAGCAAACATGAACAAAAGCAGAACTAAGCAGAAGGTTTTACAGTAGAGATAAAGTGTAAAAAGAAAATGAACTGTAATTATCAACAGGAATTACTAGGACAGTGATGGAAAACAATAAGAGTTAAAAATTGAACTTTATCTACCTTCATGGTTTGAAGCCTGACGGATGTAGAAACTTTACTGAATAGACGCAGAAACAAACCTGTACAAGACGGTTTCAGCTGCAGTGCTGCTTCAGGGAAACAGAAGTAATAATTAAAAACATATTTTACATTTTTCTGTCTGTCTGGTCTATTTATGTTGATAAAACTGTAGTTAAAAATATCAGTAGTTTTTAGCTTCGCATCGTTACGAGTTTAAACCACTTTGTAGTTAAATTTAGAGGCTATTTTTAAAAAGTAATAGCGAGATATGATCTCTAACTATTATATATCTGTCAGTCCGATCCATTTATATTGCTAAAGCTACTAAAAGTTGCTAAAAATGCTAATTTTCCACCATAACAGCTAGCTACCGCAGGAAGTTAGAAAAGCATGAGTTTAAGACTGAAGAGAAACTGCTTCTAAAACCAATAGGCTGGTTAATATTTATTGTTTTTATCTTGTGTCAAGACTAAAAACTGAACAGTTTGTGTCCAGGATGTGTGGGGTCTGCAGAGATATTAGCTTCCCTTTTCCTGACCCTTGACCTGCACAAGTCCTGAGTGGAGTGAATTAAAGAGAAGGTTTCTACGATGTATCGTTTGGGCTACTAGTAATAATTACTCTGAACTTTTATTACAATACAACCATAAAAATCAATAATAAAATGATTTTTTGGTCAGTTCTCTCCGCGTTGCAGCGTTCTGTGGGTTTTATAGTCAGTAATCTGAGCATCGGCTGCAGTAATTATCATCTCTTCCTGTCTGACTCTGCCTGTTCCTGCACTGATCTGATGTTCTGACCGAGGCGTCGGCCTGAGCAGCTGACAGTCCGGCTGCTGAAATGTGAGCGAGACACAACAGGAAGAGCAGAGGCACGAAGTCCTCCCATGTGGGGATGAGAAGCAGATTCTGGTTTGCAGCACAGAGGAGGACTGTGGGCTAAATTTAGCCGGTTCCACGCCAGCGGACACTTGGAATCCTAAAAACCTCTGGGACAGATTTATAGGGAAAACGGGACGTTTTGATTCTCAGCATTTGTGTCTCTGAACCGCAGCAATGTTTCATATTTACAATGTTTCATATTTACATTATTACAGCAGCAGATGAAAAGCACTTAGTCTCCAGGTTTAACACAGATGTCTTTCCTCTCCATAGATGCTCTGTTCCCGTTTCCAGGCCAAATTCTGGAGCGACCCACAGAACCAACAGGAACCCAACTGAACCCGGTTCCCTCAGGTTCTGCCTCTTTAACTTCTTCAATGATGCGAAACATCAAATCAGAGAAATTGGTTTGTAAATAATGAACAGAGCCTGGTGAAGAGTTTAGTCCTGCAGACCTGGATTTGCCCTTCAATCTTGGAAAAACTTGAACTAGGACCAAACTTTGAGCTGAGGTTTGTTCTTTGGTTTCGGTTCGGATCTTTTCTGGGGGAACATCAACCAGGTTCTGTGGTCATGAATCTTCAGGAGAAGCTGTCCGGCCTCAAAGGCCTGGTGTCGCCCGGCCGGCGGCGCCATAAAGGCGACCTGACGGCGGATATGATCAGCCCTCCGCTGGGCGACTTCCGCCACACCATGCACGTGGGACGCGGCGGCGACGTCTTCGGAGACACGTCCTTCCTGAGCAACCACGGCGGGTCGGCCAACGGCGGCGACGCCGACTCCGTCTCCTCACCCGACAACAAGATCGGCGCGTTTTTCTCCAGGACGCTGCGTCACATCCGGCGGGGCTCGGACAACCGACCCCGGGACGCAGTGAAGGAGTTGTCGCCGCCGCCGCCCGCCGTGTCGCCCATCATCAAGAACGCCATCTCCCTCCCGCGGCTGGACGTCGACACGCCCAACGGGAGTCCCACCGCCAGGCCGCTGTTCCCCGGATCCCCGCCGGACCGGGAGAAGAGCTCCTACGGTGAGTCGGAAAAATCTCCTGGTATTTAAACAATGGAGCCAAAAATAGCTTCAGAGCCAGGGCCGCACTTACTGGGCGGGGGGCCCTGGGCTGGGGACGGTTCGGTGGGAATGACAGAACATTAATAGGTAGTCTTATACATTAGTATTAACTGATACATGTAAAGTAATGAACTGTAAAGACGAATTAATTAATAAAAAAAAAAGAAAGAAAAATCTTTTGGCCTCCCTGTAACCTGGCTTACAGTACCTTCCTTTAGAAACTTATTCTGTTTTTGCTCCACACTTTTTAGATTAACATAACTGCTTAACTGTCAGACAAAGACAACCATTGAAAATAAAAAGTTCGTAGTACATGACTGGCACCTTACTCAGAGACACAATCAACCAGTGGTGGACCTTTCCGTTAGCAGTACTGCTAACTAAAACGCTAGCTGCTCTAACCCTTCAGCACTAATCATTAGCAGAGGCGCGCCCACCACTGGCTAATGTTCAGGTAGCTGTACGAAGAGAGGAAATATCAAGAGAAACTTTGATGGATACTCTGCAGATGAAGGGACAGCAGGGTGTTGCATTTAAATAACTGAGCCTCATACACACACACACACACACACACACACACACAGGACTGCTTGAGCTGTGTGTGAGGCCCAGACAGCTCCATCTCTGTTTTCACAACAAACGCTGCTGATTATGAGCCGAGGGGATTTATGAGGACATCTTGGACAAATCTGTCTCTAGAGGACTGAACTCGGCTAACCCAGACGGTAGCTTGTTGTCTGTAGCGTTAAGCTAACGTCGGTTGACTCATCTGACCTTTGCCCTTGTTTTTCTCTGCAACAGTGCTACAGTTTCATCTGAAGGGAAAACATTTCAAGTTGAGCCTTGGGACAATTTTGGGATTTAGAGGCGCTCCCCGTCTTAATCCCAAAATAGCAGAGCAAACCCAGATGATGTCATGTTGGCTTCCCAGCAGAGATGAACGGGGCGTTCGCAGAATCAAACAACCGCTCAAATAAATCATAAAACAAAATGTACTCAATACGAAGATCATCAAACATGACTGGAATTATGATTTCAGTTTTTAAGGTAACAAATGTATCCAAACCAAGCAAGACTAATGGAAAAGTAATCACGCCCCAGACCTAATGACTGCTTCAACATCTTCATCTAGTAGCTAAACCCTCATTTTTTTAAAGAAAATAAACATTTTATTGCCTAAAAGTCAATAACTAGTGAATATTTGATCATTTGTAGCAAAGGATTAATCTCCAGCTAAAAATCATTTTAGTAGCAACATATCTGGGGATTATGTTTGGATTAATTGAGTAATAATTGGATGGAAAATGAGTTTTTGTGTTTTTACAGAAACAACCAGGTGAAGCTAAAACTGCTGTTAGCACTGAGTAGAACAGATTTACAGACGAGGTTTTTATTTATCTTAAATGTAAAATATTTTTCACTCCATCTTCAGTTTGGAGGAGTTGGAAAGCAGATCATGTTGGTTTCTAAAATATTCGAGCTGGTGGTTTTCTGCTCATGGTGCCACAGGCTGCAAGGCCAACAGAAACATTTCAGCCCCTCGTTGGTACCAAAGCTGCCAGGAAAGGCTGTGCTGCCCCCTGCTGGATCTGCGCGTCATCATGAGGACCAGCAGCTACAGGTTTTACCTCAGAGAACAAATGTTTTGTCAAATGGGCCAAAATTAGAGTCACAATTACTAACAGGCCAGGAAGATAGAAACAAATGTAAAAAATGAAGCTATTTTTGTTTATTTAGTGGATTTAAGTCAGGAAAAATCTGCTTACGAAGCTCGGTTATAAAAAGATAAATCCTTTCTGTCATATTTTCCATTGTAAGAACGTTATGCTGGTAATAATGTTGAAACGCCTCCATCTGAACAGAAATCTGTTTGGCTTCACCTGATAGAAGATCTTTGTCTGCAGAGATGAGCTACTCTCACCGTGAAACCTTTTCAGTTTGTTTCAGCCAGAAACCAAAACGTTTGGTTGTCATTTTAAATGACAGAACATGGTTCTGTTGGTTCTGTTGGTTCTGATGGTTCTGATGTTCTGTTCTTCAGGTCTGGATTCCGGGTTCGTCACTCTGCCCCGTCTGTCCCGGTTGGAGCGCCAGCAGCCGTCCATCTCCTCCAACGTTCACCGCGGCTCTCTCATCGATCAGACCGACGCCATCTTGTCTCCCTGCTCCGCCGCCATCGTGACCTCTGAACCCAAACGGACGACCCGCGCTGCGTACTCCGACTCCTTGCCTTCCCTCACGTCCCTGGACACCTTCACCTTTGACCTCGGCCCGTCCCTAATGAGCGAAGTGTTCGGGCTGATCGACGGGCGCCCGGAGGAGGCGGAGTCGGCGTGCGGGTCGGACGGTTCTGCCACCGTGTCCTTCGTGGACTCGTTGCTGAGGGAGGACGGCGGCGGCGGGACGAGTCCTCACCGGTGTGAGCAGGAAAGCGCGGCGAGGGGATTCTCCGGGGAAGTACCGGACGTGCTGCTGGGTTCTGCTGAGCGGGTCGGGATCCGGATGGAGAGCGAGCGGTTTCAGAGCGCTACCGACGTGCTAGCACGCCACTACGGCGTCGGCCTCTTAAAGGGACAGAACAAGATGGAGGAGCTCCGGAGTCAGCCGAGGAAGAAAATATCCTACAGCTTCATGGACGATGAGGACGAAATCAAAGTCTGACAGGAAGGAACCAAACGAACCTTGTTGACGGTGACCTTCCTGAAGAGGTCAGGACTCAACAACAAACATGTCTGTCAGGTGTTGCACAAAATCAGGAGATTTTCTCTAAGAATGAGCTTTTTAGGGCGTCTGTCACTTTAAATCCAAACAAGCTGCTGCCTACAGTGAAAATGGCTGCAAAAAGATGCACAATTATATCCAATTATATACATCTTAGAAAGGCAGAAGTGGCGTCTCCTGCACAACCAACAATACAGCAAGTTATAAGGGATATTATAGATTGAAAAAGAGTCAATTTCCACCAAAAACTAGAAAATTTGAAATTAATTTCTGAAATTTTCTAGAAAAGGTCAAACATGTTAAAGTTCAGCAAATTTTTAATCTCATAAGGGTTGCCAAAAAAAGATCATCTTCAGGGAGGATAAAAACGACTTTATGTGGAAGTTACACAGCCTGCCGTTCGCCTGGTTCCCCTCACACTTCCTGTTCTGCAGCAGCGACGTTCTGGGTGAGAGGAAGTCCGAACCAAACTGCAACCCTACAAACTGATTTCACTCAGGAACAAATCACACAAAAAGGGAACAGAAGTTATTAAAACGGCAGATCTAGAGTTTCTAGAGTGGTGCAGAATGGAAACACTTAAAGGAGCTTTGCCTGTTTCCAGAAGCAAACAAACATTTTATCAGGATTTAATGTGACAGACCAGCAAAGTGACGAACAAAAGGCAAACCGACGTCTGAAGGTGATTTGTTGACTTGGTTTTACCAGGAATGTCAGAGGAAAGGAAGTTAATTAAATACATTTTATTAAAGTTTCCTTCAGTTTCTGTTCACCATTTGAAAAGTTAGTCAGAAAATAACAGCAATAATTTGGGTTATTTAACCTGTTAGAGGAAAAAATGGTGCTCATTTCTATTTTTACCATGTTCATTTAGAAACATCACAAACTGAACATTTAGATATTTTGACTAGAAACTAAATAATTCAGACAGACAAATATGCTGCAAATTAAATATTTAATTTGCAAACTAAATATTTAGCTCACAGGCTAAGTAAGCTAAATGTTGAGCCCCAAAGTAAATATTTAGTTAGAAGTTAAACTTTTACCTCCATATTATATATTAAGGTATGAAACCAAACATTTAGCTTCAAAGTAAATATGTAGTTAAGGAGCTAAGCGTTTAGTTTGAGGATCAATTTTTAGTTTAATAACTAAATATTTAGTTGCAAAATAAACATTTAGTTTGGAATAAACTATTTAGCTTCAAATTATACATTTAGTTCACGAGCTAAATATTTAGTATGACTATAAATATACATAGTTTAAAAACTAAATATTTAGTTTGAAACTGATATTTATAAATGAATAATGAAGATGAGACAAAAATATTTTTTTCTCTTGCAAGCTAAAAAAACTCAAATAATTGCTGTTAATTTTTTACAGTGTAGCTTTTCTAATGCCCTTCCCTTCATGTTGAAGCAGCTAGCTGTTAGCTGCTAACAGCTAGCTGCTGGTCAGCCATGTTGGACGCTGCAGGCTAACCCTGTAGCTGCTCTTTGCTGCTGCAGATCTTCTCTATAAACACAAAGTGCACCTTCTTTATTGTTTCTATGAAGTTTTGCCTTTAAGGGACGAGTTTATAAGTTTTTTATTACATTCCTGTACATGAAGATATTAGCTGAACTATGAATATGTAAGAGCACCTGCAGTGCCGCTACGCAGCATCAGTTATAAAAGATGATTATATGAATGAACAATAAAGACATTTTTAATTAGATTTCCATTCATTTACATGTTTTTTTAGTTTGACAAACAGAAACACAAAACGGGATGATTTTCTCAGCTTCCATCAGTTGAACACCAACAGCTGCTTCAGGTCTGCAGACAATAAATAAATGACGTGTTTGGGGATAAAACGTTACAATCGGTGGAGTGATGTGGAAGTGGGCCAGAGTGCGACGGCGCCTCACTGCGCCATGGAGGGAAACGTTTTGGGCTGCGAAGGCGGTGGGAGAGGCGGCGGACAGCTCGGCGCTCTGACTCCGCCCCTTTTCGGCGCAGGCTTTTTCACGCTGGTGGGTGGAACACCCGGCGCCGTCGTGGCGTCGGCGGCCGGAGCTGAGGCTGGAGGGGGCGGAGCCTGAGCCTTGGGCAGTCCCGGCGCTCTGGGTTTGGAGAACTGGACCGATCCCACCGGCTCACTGGTTTTGGTCAGGTTGAAGGTTCGCTTCGCTGAAAAGGAAACAAACAAAATGGACCTTAAACCAAGTTCTGCTGCTCCGCTTTAGTTACATAATAATTACATCAAGGCTGGAATGATTAATCGGAATAAATCAGATTAATCAATAATTGGAATAATCATTAGCTAATTTTATAATCTATTCATTGTTAAGGGTAACAGATCCAGTTTGCAAACTTTCACAGTAAAAAATTAACAACAATAATTTGGGCTATTTAACCTGTCAGAGTAAAAGGAAGTATGTGAGCTATGCTAGCTATGCTAGCTCGACTTTGACAACTTTGACATGTAGATGTGCTGCAGAATTCAGAGTTTCGGTTCAATATAAGAAAAGGTGACAGAAACACAGACTGACAGCTCATCAGCAGAGCAGGTGGTTAAATGAGCTGATCAACCATCTGTTGACCAGACCCAGAGAGTAGACTGGACCAGAAATCAACAATACGATTCCTGATAAACACTTGATCGATATCAATCAATAACATGTCTGATAGAATATTCAATATATAGAGCCGCACAGCATTCTGGGAGATGCTAGCCACTCAACCTGTCATTGCCAGCTCAGCTAGGTTGGTAGCATCAACTACCTCACTCACTCTTTGGTTGCCTAGCAACAACATGCTGAGGAACCCGTTTCCCCACCGTTCTTCATAACTGCTAAAAAATAAAAACCGGATAAAACAGGAAAAGTCACACCCAGTTTGGTGGCATTTCAAATATCTCAAACTAAAAACTAATCAATAATTATTGATATTGACTGATATGAACCGTTTATATTATGATGGGTTTTTCAGCCGTATTGAGCCCAAACGTACAGAGAGAGAGAGAACATGTGAACCCGATGCAGGACCTGCTTCTGCAGGGCAGCAGTCAGAAATGCTGACCCAGATACCTGCTGAGATTTTTCATCCCTTTTAAAAGCTGCAGGGTCAGCTGTTGCAGGTAAATAACCATTCTGTAGGCTGGGTCACAGAACCATCAGCTGATTTCCAGTTAAAGTGATCAGATTCTGGTCATTTGTAAGAAACGGTTCAGAGTTTGAGGAGATGTTTCCCTCTCTGCTGTGGAAATCGATCTGCTGACATTTTGGTCAGTGGTGTGAGAAACTTCCTGTTTCCTGTGTACATCCTGGATGTTAAAAACCAGATCACTAGTTTCTGTTTCTAACTTCTTGTGCTGCTTTAACAACCACAAGAGGAAATAAACAACTGATACCAGATAAAAAAAAACAAAACCCTCAAACTGTGAAGGACACACATTGGGACCTCAGGGGAAAAATCTTCAACTTTTAAAACTTTTTTACCTTTTATTTACATAAATATTAATAAGGTGAAAATGCTGAGTCGGTAGTCCTGCCATGCTTACGTTTGTACGGTGATGCTATCGTCAGAGTCGCCTTGGGAGAATCAGGCGGCGCCTCCAGAATGGGCTCCAGCTGGGCCTGGTCCAAACTCTGCCTCTGGGTGAGATTCCTCGTCGGAGCGGCCGGGTTTGGCACCGTCGCCCTGGGAGACGGAGTCGGGATCTGGTCCTGCGTGGATCCGGATCCAGAGGACGACCTGGGAGCTGGAGCTGTGCTGGACTCGGACGAGCCGCTGGATGCTGCATTCTGATTGGCTGCGAGGTCAGAGGCGGGGCTTCCCCATGTGGTGCCGCTGCGGCTGCCAACAGAACCGGATTTAGCCCGGAAGACGCCGCCGCTGTCCTGAGAGGCCGTGCTAACGGGAGGAAAACCAGGAGCTTCTTAACGAGGCAACAAACTATTTTAAAAGCAAAAGTTTAAACTTATAATTCAATAAGCCTCACACATTCCAAATTACACACTTAAGTTAATCTGCTAATAGGAGAGCTAATCTTTAGCCTAACACTCTACCGTTTTTGCTCACTTTGAAAACTTTTAGTGCACGTGCTTCCCCTAACTGGCTTTTTCCATATATATTCTAATGCTCAAGCTAACATATTAGCATTAGCTTCTGCTAAAAACCATGTTGTCGTAGCACAACATGGAACAAATGTTTATGATTAGTGCCTTATAGTTAGCACAGTTAGCTCTTTGTTAGCGGTAGCTACCACTGTGGTTTAGGTATAATTCTTTGTGTTGAACCCTGATCTGTTCATTTCAGCTGCTGTGGAGGAAATGTTCCTCCTGCCTTCAGCAGCACCTGTTTGATTTGGAGAGGGGCAGGTGGAAGGAGGAGCAGGAGGACGTGGACGAAGAGGAGGACACGGTTCTGCTCAGTCGGTCCTTCTCTGAGAAGAAGGGCTGGGCAGCAGGAGCTGGAGCATCTGGGACTTCAGGAAACTCAGGGATCTCAAAGTCAACAGCTGGAAACAAAAGGACGACGCCATCAGACATTATTTCATCTTAACCAGATGATCAGCTTTCCTGTTGTTATTTATATTAGTTACAAAACCACAAAACTTATCTGGGGTTTTCTGAAGCTGGTGCTGAGCCAGCTAACGCTGCAAACCCCACATGCATGCTAAAGGAGAGCGCCACACCAGCTAGCGCTGCGGTTTCACTTTGGCCTGCTGTGTTAGCTGTGGTTTGAGTTTGTAGAGCAACCGGAGGCTCAGAGAGCGTGCAGCAACTAGAGCAGCAACTAGAGCAGCAACTAGAGCAGCAACTAGAGCAGCAACTAGAGCAGCAGCAACCAGAGCAGCAACTAGAGCAGCAACTAGAGCAGCAGCAACTAGAGCAGCAACTAGAGCAGCAGCAACTAGAGCAGCAACTAGAGCAGCAGCAACTAGA